CCTGTAACAGTTCTGTATGGTCGTGGGTTTTGTAGTGAAATGCTCTCATGGAAACCATGACCAAATGCACAGAGGAGCCAGTGACCCTTTGTCATAACTGGCACTTTTTACTTTATATGTGATAACATAAGCAAACTTCTCTTTATATTTAGGTATGAAGACTTGTAAAGACTTGAGGTGCCATTTTGCCCTCTTTTCTCATACCTGTATTAGCAATATTCATCATGTTCTAGTGGACCTAAAGAAAATAGCTGTGTAGTAGATTTGCCTGAGTATGTAACTCTTTGCTGCGTTAGTAGATCACCACAGCAGCTGTGGTTTTATAAATTCATTATTGTCTAAAATTGCTAAACCCTAGATTTCCCTGAGGGGTTTAAATGGTTTGGGGTTTGGTAATGAGATACGGGCCATTAGTTCAAATCCTGATCAGGTTAGTAGTGTTGGAAAGCTGTTAGTCTGTGGTGTCATAAGCATATGTGAAGTGAGGTGGTATTCTCTCTGTTTCCTCGTGGACTGGAGTTTGTGTTGGCCAGACCTCTTGTCCACCAGCTTTCTTGCTCTGTTTTTCAGGCCTGAGAGGGGGTAAGTCTGTTGCAGTTTAGCTCTTTTTCCTTCCTCCTCTGCGAAACATGAATATCTAAATAAGTAAGAAGACCTTTTTTAAAAAACAAAGCATAACTTATCTCCTTGGTGTGGACTGTGCCTCCCTTTGTATCTGTAAAGCACCTGGTATATTGTGGCTTAACTAGGGGCAAATTGTGCCTGACAAATTTGATCACCTGCTATGACAGGGTTACAGTGTTTGTGGATAAGGGGTGAGCAACTGACATCATCTGCCTGGACTTGTACAAGGCATTTGATACTATCCTTGCATGACATTCTCTAAGCTGGAGAGTTGTGGATTTGATGAATGGCCCACTTAGTGAATAAAGAACTTGCTTAATGGTCTCACACTTGAAGAGCTGCAGTCTGTCTTGATGTCTGGGTGCAGACCAATGATGAGTGTTATCCCTTGGGGGTCAGCACTGGGACAGGCGCTGTTCAACATCTTTGTTGGTGACATGGACAACAGGATTAAGTGTACCCTCAGAAAGCTTGCTGACGACACCAAGCTGTGTGATGTGGTCAACACGCTGGAGAGAAGGGATGCCATCCAGAGGGACCTTGACAAGTTGAAGAACTGGAGGCCTGTGCAAAACTTGTGAAGGTCAACAAATGCAAGTTCCTGCATGTGGGTCAGGGCTGTCCTAGGCACAGGTACAGGCTGAGTGGAGAATGGCTTGAGAACAGCCCTGAGCAGCAGGATTTTGGGGTGTTCGTTGATGAGAAGCTCCACATGACCTGGCACTGTGAGCTTGTAGCCAAATATTTGCTGGGCTGCTTCACAAAGAAGCATGATCAGCAGGTGAAGGGAGGTGATTATCCCTCTCTGCTCTGGTGACACCCCCACCCGGAGTACAGCATTCAGGTCTGGAGCCCCTGTACAAGAAGGACATGGACCCGTTGGAGAGAGGCCAGAGGAGGTCACGAAGATGATCAGAGGGCTGGAGCACATCTCCTGTGAAGAGGCTCAGAGACCTAGGGTTGTTCAGCCTGGGGAAGAGAAGGCTCTTGGGAGACCTTAGAGCAGCCTTCTGGTACCTAAAGGGGCTCTTCAAGAAGAGGGAAGATCTACGTTAGGTATTAGGGAAAAATTCTTCACTATGAGGGAGGTGAGGCCCTGACACAGGTTGCCCATAGAAGCTGTGGCTGCCCCATCCATGGCAGTGTTCAGTGGGGCCTTTGAGCAACCTGATCTAGTGGAAGGTGTCTTTGCCCATGGCAGGGGTGTTGAAACTACATGATCCTTAAGGTCCCTTCCAACCCAAACCATTCTGTGATTCTGCTATGACCATCTTAGCTTTGATTCTTGAGACAAGCTATATTCTTCTGGTGTAAGATAATTGTCTTCAGTACTTTAGATATGTTTCCTTTCTCCAGTGTAAACTTTCACACATATGTAAAATGACTGTTGGTTGCAAAGATTTGTATGCCACAGGGTATGTAAAATACTATTCCTTCCAGAACTGGTTGTGTGCTCAGTAGGGTTCTCCAGCATAAAGCTTGTCTTAGATCACAGTCAGGTGTTCTTTAAGCACCAAGTAGGGGCCTAATCCTTTATACAGCCTTCTGCAAAGGTGGCTTTTTCACACATCCCTGTTTTGCTGTGACCTTTTAGGCTTTTGAACAGTCTGTCCAATTCTTTCCAAATTGTGAGAGAATAGCATGCCTGTGTTCTCCAGGAGAAATTACTGTTTTGTTAGTAACCACAACCAACTTACTCAGATTCTACATTTAGCTCATAGACTGGAAGTGTCAGATTGTTGTCATAGGCAGCTTATCAGAGCGGTTCAGTGGTCTCTTGGATTCCCTCCAGAAAAAGAGAAAATGGTCTCCAAGAAAACAAATTTGTAAACAAAGTTCCTGAGACCCTAGAGTAACAACACTATATATTTTTATTTAGGCTGGGTGCCTATAGTCCTCTCTTGTAGAGGACACATGCATGACTTTCTCACGGAAGATAATACAGGATGAAAGAGTAGACAGCATAGGTATAAAATGGGCCTTAAATAGATAAATCTGTGAAAGAGTAGTGTAAATTAAAATTAATTAAATTAATATAATTACAGTTTTAAATGCAACTGTATTTTAATACTATTTTGAGTTTTAACTACTTTATTACTTTTGAGCACAATCTTAACTGTCCGCCGTGTTCTCAAAGCTGTGAACATGTCAGATTTAAGGAGCTGTATGGTTATTTTATTTTATTTTTAATACAATCTCAGGTAGGTGTTATGTGGATTAGAAATTAGATGACTAAATAGTTTACTGTTTACTCTGCAGAGATAATCATTGTGGTATCTAGATGCTGAAAAAATGACTTCCTGGTATATATTAAGTGTGAATGGCAGATAGTTTAAATCCTTATGCTTCAGATTGATTGGAATGCTCAGAGCAATTTTTTGTCCTTTAGTTAAAGCAACAGCTGTATACATCATTACATGTTTATCTTTTGCTAAACCTGAGTTGCTGAAGCTTGTAAGTGTTGCTCCACATGAAGAAAAGCGGAAGAGACTTTTTCTAAAGTCTTGGGGTAAATCATCCTTCTCTGGTCTCTCTTTATGGTGTGTTTCTCAGCTCCATGGTTGTGTTGCGCACTGCGGAAGTACCGATATGAGTTGGTGTCTGAGGCAGTTCTTCAATTCTTGCGTTGTATTGATTCAAACAAACATGCTTGAAGGTGTAGCATAGAGGTATGCATGACAGTTGTAGGTTAACTGGAACTTTTCGTTCCTTCAAGACCTTAGAAATACTCAGTGCCAGTCTTTGAAAGAGACTGGGAAGAAATAACTGTGTTTAGAGTGGAACATTCAAGCCTGGTTTTCTTTCATAGTGAGAGGAGAGAGACTTACAAGGGTCTTATCTGGTCTGTGCCAGGTATCAAATGAGCAACAACTGTTCAACACTATTAGCCCTTCAGCTTCTTTTTTCTGGAAGAGAATAAGGTATATTAATCTAGTGCAAATAGGTGAATACTGGAGATCAGCTACGATTTCTGTCAGACTTGCGCTCTGCTGCTTGTTTGAGTGCACTGAACTGGAAAGAGCCTAACTGGTACAGTGGCTGTCTGGTGCAGCATGATGGACAACTTTGTGTTCGCTCTGAGAGAGGGGCCTGCTAGGGCTTGGAGGTGGAGTACAGGTTCTTGCCTGGCAGAGCACTGAAGAGAGGCAAGCTGGGCAGGAGAGAGTTTCATTTTATTGCACTGAATATATTTCAGGTGTGGCACTATCAGGTGGTATCCTGTCAAAGCAATTGTTGATGTAACAATTCTCAATACATGATTATGTGCATGTATGTGCCTAAGGTGACTTTTTTTTTTAATTTTCTGGATGTAAGGATTTTTATTTATTTATTTACTTAATTTCTTTTCAAGTTGCCTATGGTTTGGCTCATGTTCTTTGAGGAATATAGTGTGAGCTTTTCTGTGCCTGTGTTTGTGCTCCAATAGCACAAACACCTTCACAATAGAAGGAAGGTCACAGTGCTTCTGAAAGGCTCAATCTTTGTTATGCACCATCTACTCAAAACAATACATGTTGGAGAGGGCTTAAAAAATTGATCCAACACCAAGGAACCAGATGACTGAAAGTCCTTCTGGGAGTCTGAATATATAAGAGAGATCTAGGAGTAGTGTTAAAATGGACCAAGACCCCAGTAACAGTCAGCATCAACACCCAGCTTTTGGGAGAGCAGAAAGTGACAAGACTCCTGCCAGGTTATGTCAGCATTTGTGATCAGTACCAGGAATATATATCTTTGTATTTCCTTTCAGTACCCTTGTCTCCAAGCACTCTAATTGTATGAATAGAGAGAATCCCTGATAGGCACTGAAGAATTTTCACAAAACACTTGAGGATTTTCTTGTTAGCCAGTTTTGAGCTGTAAGATCACTTGAGATCTGTTTTTCTCAGACAAGATTCTGATCAACAGTAGAAGTTGTGGCTGAATCCCTGGACTATGAGCTCTGCCACGCTTCTGATTTGGAATGTTGTTCTTGCAATCAAACATCCAAAAGAGTTCCATTTTAAACGGCTGTGCTTGATTATTTCTGGGCTTTACAAATTTCTGCACCTATAAATCTCTGGGGATCAGGCACTTAAATGGAATTTTTCAAGACTAACTTGTAGACCTCCAATTTGGACAGTTGCTAATCTGTAGTTTTAAAGTGATCCATTCCAGTGACTTTCTAAAGGCTATGATAGGGTGTGGAATTTTTAGAGGATGACTGATGTAAACACCATAATGAGCTATGAAAGGTGTATTTTAAGTGCTTGCCCAATAACAGAGTCTGCCATTTTTTAAAATTAATTAATTAATTTATTTATTCCTGCTTGCTAGGTGCTTTCTGTCCTGCTCTGTTCCTTCTGTGCTATAACTATTTTTGTCATTTGTTTTAGGATTCAGAAGGAGGTCTCTATGTGTGCATGAACACATTTCTGGGATTTGGAAGGGAACACATTGAGAGGCATTACCGGAAAACAGGACAGTGTGTATATTTGCATCTGAAGCGACGTGTGATAGAGGTGAGACCTGTGGCTTCCCAACTAACTACCCCAGTATTTCTTGGGTCTCATTTAAATAATGCATTGGGGACATAGACCAAATCTTGAATGACAGAGATGAGCATGTTCAGATTTGAGGCTTGGATGTCAAATTCAGGTGCTTAGATCCCAGCCAATCCCATAACTTCAGTTCTGCAGTGAATCAAAGACCCTAAAGAATCAGAACTTCAAGGCAGCCAGTTGCCTGGCTTCCGCTGATCTTTTTCACTACATGCTTCTGCCTATCCCATGCATATTTTCTGCATATTATGTGCATACTGTAGTTAACCAAATACTTTTCTGAAGCTTTGGTAGAATACTTGTTGGTTTTGTTTTTGTTTTAATATGAGGTATTATCTCAGGGTAGTGGGACTTTTCATCCTAAGATTTCTGTATAATTAAACCACAAGCCTTAATCCTGACCTGGGATCTAAAGCTTAGCTTAAATTAATGATAGATTCTAGAGCCATACGCTGCCCTCATTGAGTCTTAACACCCACACATATACGGATGTATACATACAAACTTCATGTTCACTGTTCTTCCATAATATCACTGCCTATCTACAGTAACTTGTAACATTTTCTTTATGACATCTGTTTGTGTGTGGTTGGTCTGGTATCTCTAAAGGGCTGTTAATGACTTCTGGTTGGAGCTGTATGGAAGGCACTGGGTGTGCTTACAGCTCACTCTGCCATAAGCTCTGTCCCCTTCAGCAAGATAGAGGGCCTAAAATAGCTGCTTGGAATGGGATAGAATACTTTGTTTCCCATGGGTGATGAAGGCCCTGAGATATGTAGAGTGCCCTTACCACTTATTTTATTTCCAGTAGATGGCTATTCATATTTTATCTGAATTACAGTGAGGTGGATTGCATGTCTCCAGTTTGAGGTTCTCAATGATGTTTGTTAGACTTCAGAATTGTTTTTCCTTGCAAGAGTGATAGCAATATTTTCCTTCACACTCTTAACTGAGTTTTTGGAGGGCCTCATCTAGTTCTAGCAACAGTTCTTACAAGTGAATTTAACACTCCTGAAAGATGATATCTAGGACTAGAGACAGGTGGGCAGAAATCCTGTCACCTTTCCTTGTATGTAACTTTTTTCCCAGCATATGACCAGGGATTTTTCAATATTAAGCTAAACTGGGATTAAAATAAGGCCTCAGAAATTCCTTTCCTGGGTAAAGATTAGGCTGCAGAACTCCAAAAGGGAACCAATATATCAACTGCTGCTTGATGCTCTTCAGCTGATCTAGTTTGGTGGTTCCTGTTTTTTTCCCCTGTGAATCATAATGTAGCAGAGGGGCCTGGTATCTGTGTTTGAAGGTGGTGACACACTGGTGCACTGGAGCCTGTGGTAGGAAAGAGTGTTTGACTCTACAGTACAGGTGAAGATTGTGTCATCTGACATAGCTCATAGATAAGATTCCTCATAGATTAGCTGTGGATTTTGTTTACAATGAGTGTTTGCTTCTTATGTGCCATCCATGTTTTCCTTTAGGCAATATGAAACATCAGGCCTTCACTGGTACAATTCTATGAAGCGTCTGGCACATGCTACATTGTGGGTTTTGGTTTTCTTGGGTGTGGTTTTTTTAAGCCAATCTTTTGATGATGTGGGATACAGTAAAGCCAAAACATTGAATATGCTATCTTAGGACTCTTAGTGAGGCTGCTATTCTTGCCTGTGCTTTCCTTGGCATCCTGCTTGCAGAATGCACTGCGTTGCTGCAGAAATTCCTGTTTGCTTCCAGAGGTGTTTGGAATAAGTATGAGTTGTGTATCTTGTCACAAATCAGTTAGAAAATAATGGTCAGATCTTCAGCCTATTGGCTTAAGTGGATCTGCAATATCTGCCAGTAGCAGATCAGCACCAGCCGCATCTGCTGAATCATCAGAAATGTGCACAAGTGCAAGTTACAAAGCACCCTCTGGTAAAATTCTTAGATAAGTTTTTATATATATTTTTTTTTCTTTTCACAGAGGTTCACTCTTCAGAATTTTTAAATCAGCCACTTTGCTGTAGTATATGATGTGTATACAACTGCCTGGGTAGTATTCAGCCCCAGGAGGACCTTTAGCTTGATGATATAGTAATACCTCAGCCCTATTGAAAACACCGAGTAGAGAAGCATGAAATTTCCTGCAGTAATGGATTATTATATTATTCAGTGATTGTGCTGTTAAAAAATGTGGCAATGGTGCAGTTAAAGAGAATAGGCTACACTCTCATCTTGTATGAGAAACATCACTAATGGAATTTAATCCCACTGCTGATGGATTGTGTGGACTCCCATTTGCTGTGTATGTCACTTCTGTTAGAAGCCAAAATAGTTTTGTAAATGGGGAATGTTTTCAGTGATTCCTGACAGGTGGAGAAACAAGGTAAAAACCCCTGTCAGTTTCTGTTTTTTTCAGGACTGCTGAGCATCCGCAATTCCAGTTCAAATGTATTCAGCAGTTTGGAAAATCGGGCTGACATATTTAATGTCAGGCTGGCAGATAAACACTCCATGCAAATTATTCCTCTTTGAAATCTCTAGTCTTAATGACTTTCACAATATCCCACTTGGTGGCATAAGAATTCAATTGGAGCTTCCTAGTATTGGTAACTTTTTTTTTTTTTTTTAGTTCTGAAGCTATAATCTTTGGAGTATGGTATTTATTTATTCATTATTTATTTATATTTTTTATAAGTAATTTATTCATACTCAAATATGCATTCATAGTATATTTGTAATTGGATTATTATGGAATCTTAGAATGGTTTGGGTTGGAAAGGACTTTAAGATCATCTAGTTCCAAGTGACAGGGACGCATCACATTAGATCACATTGCCCAAGGCTCTGTCCAGCCTGGCCTGGAACGCTGCCAGGGATGGAGCATTGACCACTTCTTTGGGCAGCCTGTTCCAGTGCCTCACCACCTTCACAGTAAAGAACTTTTTCCTTATATCTAACCTGAACTTCTCTTATTGAAGTTTAACATGTCGTATCTTGCTGCTGCTTTCTAAAAATAGATTTGGATTATTGGCAACTTCCTTTCCACTGCTTAAATTCCAGTAGTATTAAGGGGAAAAAGAAAAAAGTTCTGTTCATTATTTTCACTTCATTGAGGACTTTTTTTTTTTCCTAAATGGTGGAGTTGTGACTCTAACTCCACTGTGCTAGGAGTTGTATATATGCATAATAGGTTCCATTCCTAAGTGCAGCCAATGAGTGTTAGTTGACATCTGCTCTTTCTAAGAATGGAAAACTTTCCTATGATGTATAAGACTTCACTGATGATTTCAGCAGTAGCTTTGGTCAAAGCTTTATTTACATGGTGAAGGGAACCACCCAAAATATGTGACCCTTTCACTTATGAAGGAGCAGAGGTACACATGAACTTTCCCTAGGCTGACAGGTTCTTGGCTAGTTTCTCTCCACCTGTTGTATCCCAATATTACTATTAAAAAAGGAAAAAAGTTACTCAGCAACCTCACCATTTACACTAACATTATATACTACGTAATACATCATGTTAGCATTATAGCCACAGAGGCTTATTTATCTTGATTTGATTTAATGATGGCTGTTCATAAACAGCTTAAGAAGCAAGTGCATTGACTTTCACATTTCCTTGGCTTCTAGTGTTTTCCCTATTATGAGGTGTTTTGAACTGGGGAAATAGTTTTTGAAATGGAATGTCACTTGGAAGTTTACTATTCTCAGCTGTGGAACTTACTTAAATTATAAAATAAAAATAAATAAAAATCCTTCTAAAACAATTGCTTGGGTGTGGTCAGGTTTTCCTCCATACTTTCTAATATTAAGAAAGCATGGTGGTAACTTTGATCTTAATGGAAGCAGGCATGGATCCTATTGGAAAGGGCATTTTTTCTGGATAGAAGAAAATTAGCTGAACTAATAGATCACAGTAAAGTGTTCATACTGGAATTGGTTATGAAGGATTGAATCTTTTATGTGCATAATAGCCTTTTCTTCCCCTCTCTAATTCAGCTTTAGTATTAAGAAATACTATAAGGGATCAAGTGGTGATAGGTCTGAGTGATGGTAGGTGCTTCTGTTTGTGGACAGAACAGCAGTCACCCATGATGACCATGAGTCATGCTCTGTTTAATTATGAACAGAGTGAAGTATGAAAGATTCAGATGGTGGCTTTCTCACTCCGTGAGGGTAGTAAGCAATGATGAGTTGAGTCTTCTTGTCAGAGGTGAATGAAGAGGATTTACATGCTTGCTCAGCAAGGACTGCGATTTAATAGTAGGACGATGAACAGATAGAGGTGTGTTGGAAGTGGTGATGGTATGGGATTATTGCTGGTTTACTCTTGTCTCAATTGATAGATTTTTTTTTTTTTTCAAACTGTTTCTTTCTCTCTTTCCAGAAGGTACCAGGGGCATCTGGTGGAGCTTTACCAAAGAGGAGGAATGCTAAGCTATTTTTAGGTATTGTTAACAGCTGTTTTCACACAGTCCTTTTCTGACCCTGTCTGCATGTAAACTTGTGTTTTGTCCACCATATTGTCTGGCTTTGGAGCTCTTTGTGGCTTTTCTTTTTGGTTGGTTGTTATTTTGGGGGGGGGGGGAAGGGGGGTTGGGGAAGAGGATTGGGTTGATTGTTTGGATGATTTTTGTTTGGTTTTGATTGTATTGGGTTGTTGTGGTTTTTCGTTTGAAAAAGTAGGCCCTCAATTATTCTCACAACAGCTTTTTTTTTTTTTTTTTTACAGTTAGCGGCTCTTATGGCTAAAGCGAAACAATAGCATGACCTCCCTTTGGAATTACTTTGATCTGTGGAATGTGTCTTTAAGAGGACTTTGCAGATTGTGTTCCATTAAATTGTTGCTGTTAATGTTTGGAGTAAGATTTCAAAGGAGGGCTTAGAGAAATGAAAAATAAAATCTAAAGATGAGTCATAAAGAAATGAAAATTCTTTTGTAGGAGTTAAGTCAGTTAAGGAGTTAATTTGCAGATGCTGTTCTAAATGCCATTTACTGGATGCTTGTAAAATAATAGGTTCAGCAACAAAGCTGGTTGTGGTGCAGCAAAGGTTGTACAGTGTTAGCAATGTGAGTGTAAATAAGTACAAAAGCATGGTCTAATTTTATTCTTGCTGATCTACTGCCTGCATTTTGAGGCTCCTGTCATTATGGTATTCTGGCACACAGCATATGTAGCATATTTCCTCTGCTGTGCCATGTTGGAGTCTTCAAATTCCATCCTTGCACGTGAGCATTTTGTTCCCACTGAATAAATCTGGTGCAGCAGTTCCAAGTGTCCCAGGAGACTTATGAAGGTGGTGTAGTTCCACTGGGGTGGATTTAACACATGAACTATCACCATTTAATCCAACATTCTGGCATCTAATGTACTTTTGAAAATGTACCTCATCTGGTCTCTTCTGCAGTCTTCTTTGCAGCCCCTGCTGGCTGGGAGTAAAATGGTATCAATTCTGATCTTTCCTGTGCATCCAAATGCATTATATTCACTTCTTTGGCTCAGCAGATTTTATTATTTTTTGGTCATACTTAAAGAAAACAACAAATAATTATTCCTGTCCTTGTTCATAGCTGAGGAAATCAAAGCACAGAGAGGCCAGCTGATTGCATGTGACAGCAGTAGAGATGGTTAGCCAAATTTGGCATTTTATCTCTTAATCCAGCATCTTCCTCATTGGTTCATTGCTGCTGGACTTCTAATGTTACCAGGCCATTTTAGTTCTGACTTTCTCATTGTGGTGAACTTAAGGCACTTATGGTAGAGGTTTGCATAAAGCTGGCTGTTATCGGCCTGCAATTAAGGGCTTACCCTGTCAAACAGGAATAGATAATTATCGATGGATAGCTCTAACATCATGGTGTTTCTAGGTGTCTTTGAAGAATTCTCTGAAGACCCAGTTTGTGTACAAACCGGTCCAGTTTGGGCATTTGTTACATTGCTTCTTATAATCATCTCTGATGTAAAGCTATTAAAGATACTAAACCTTTCTCAATCTCCACAGTATTAGGACAACATCTTTTGGATACTTACTGGTAACTTTCTAGCACTGCTGGTATCCAGTAAATGCAATGGAAACACAGACTGGTTGGGTCAGTCAGCTGGAAGGTTAAAAGATCTGTGACAAAGTGTGTGTGCATAATAACAAAATTGGGTTTTGAGATTACTCTGTTTTGTTTATCTTCTGGAGAAGGTTGGACGGTGTTGTCTGTGAGTATTCTATGTAATCAGGAAGACGAATAAAACATTGTGCATTGAAATGGATGAGCTGCCTTTAGGTTATTTAGGTGTTCCTAGGCAGTGTAGATATGGTTACTTCAGCTCAGATGTGCAAGCTTCAGGGCATTTGGGGTGGTATTTAGGGCAGACTGTGTCATGATGCATGGAATAGTATCCTTACTGCATTGTTAGCTAGGCTAGCAAGATTGAAGATACGTTGTGCTTGTCAATATTTGTGGCTTTCCCACAAAGAGGTTTTAGATCCAGTCTGTAAAATTAATTGATTGGACAAGATGGTAGCTCCCCATGACTTCACAAGGTTCTCAGATAAGAATCAGCTGCATCGTTGTTTTTGGTATGCACAGTCTTGTTTAAATCAGCCGCAGTGTGGTAAATGTGATAGCAGGTATAGGGGGAAAACAAACAAAAAAAAGGACATGATGGGACAAGAAAAGTACCATCACTAAATTTGATTTTCATATTTGCACGTCTGGAAGGAAACAAATGGATGAGAACTGAGAGAAAGTTGTATAAATATGCTGTAACAGATAAGAACCATTATGGATTTTCCAAAGTGAAGCAATGGTTCTGGGCCTAAGAATATTCTGTGACTGCGTGTAGTAGGCTCCCTACGTATTCGGTGATTATGTGAATAAGAGCAATTTGGTTAACAGGATGTACTGTGATCTTCCTTATGAGACCCTGGTCAAAAGGAGTAGTAGAATAAGGGGGAAGATCCTTGTGTTAAAAAGATTGGAGGCCCAGTTCTTACAGCAGAGTTATCAGCGGAGTCCTTTATAATGTTCTGATGAATTAATGCGATCATAAGTGGCTTGAGAAGATACTGGAAAATGAGGAAATAGAGTTTGGTGGTTGATTTAAAATCTTAAAGTGATTCTTAAATGTGCTAATAACTAAACTATAGATGAAGTAAATGTTGGAAAATGCAAGGAAGACGAGAAGTGCTTTAACTATGTGTACATAGTGATGTCTAAATTAGCTATAGCTGTTCAGAAAGGTAGTTCTGAGAGAGATGGTGTGAGTGGTTCTCTGAAAATGTCAGCTCAGTTGTCAGCAGCAGGGAGAGTTAAGTGAAACATCAGGAGTAGAGCAGCATTTTATATTTTGTTCTCTATTATTTTGCTTTATAAATAAGTGAACCTCTCTTTTCGAATAGAGAAACCACAGCTGCATGCAGTATCTCCCCTGTCTCTCGAAACCAACCAGGCAAGCACACTCCTCACTGCCCCAGCAAACAAAACTCCCTAGATAGTTATCTGGAAGGGAGGAGGTATATCTTGCAGGAGGAATCACTGCAGTTTTGCCCTGTTCTGGTATCCTCTTCTAGGCGCCTGTTGGTCCCTGCCAAAGTCTGGACTCTAGGTTAAACAGAGCTGACAGAGGGGCTGTCGTAAAACTTGTCCATAGACATCCTCTTCCAGATCAGTTACCACAGCAGGATCTGCCAGTGCAGCAAGTTGCGTGCGCTCTGTTCAGAGCAAAGTCAGAGCTAACTCAGACCGTCAATTAAAAGTGTTTTGAAGTTCTCAAATGAACAGCTCTGTCAGCAGATCTGTGAGGATGGTAATTGCTTGTGAGTCTCAGTGAGGAGCTGTATCCATGACACACAGCTGGTCTCAGAGGCGGCCTTGGAAAGGAAGACCAAACTTCCACTTAAGAGTTTCTGGGGAACATATAAACTTGTTGGGCTTTTCCTGGGTGGCATCTGCCTGCCTGTGGCAGTGAATGTAGTTATGACTACTGTTTCTAACTGTAAAGACCATTCATAAGAGTGGCCATGCTGCATTTCAGCACAGCTTCACTTAACTTTCCTAGATCTCATAGCACGGAGTAGCAGAACCCAATTTTCAGTATGGATGCTTTTGTTTGGTAAGCTTTTGAAGAGGACTTTTTACTACCAGTGGTTTAAGTTTGTATTTATTCAAGTAAGTACTGAAATAGTATGCATCTATGAGTGGAAAGCTTGATTTAGGAGGATTTGAGGGTGTTCCAGCAATATTTTTAAATTTTAGAGCAGTAAAGTTGTGTGAACTCACCAGCAGTAGCAGTGGAACTGATTAGACCATAGCAAGCAATTTTAATGTTATTTTACAGATAGCGAATTATCTAAATGATCTTAGTGCAAAGTTTTGCTTTTCCTTTTGCCACAAAGGAGACTGGAGACTGTCATTACTAAAGAGGGTTTTTTTGTTTGTTTTTTTCTGTTCTTTTTTTTTTTTAATAGTTCATCTGGTGAGGTCAGTGTTTCAGATATGCCTGAAGACAAATGAATTGAATAGCCTTTATTTTGCAAAGTGCTGTTGCTGCAATACATTATTATTTAGAGGCTTCAGGAAGAAATATTTTGATTTAAAGACTCAGTCCTCCACTTCCAAGTCAATACAAATTTGTCTGTTGCTTTTCAGTGAGAGAGCAGGGTCAAGCCCAGATTCCTAAGATGTCTTTCTAGGGTTTCAAAATTAGTTGTAGGCTTACTAGTTAACATTCTCATTCAATTTTTGTGTTTGTGTTCCCATTCCTATGACACAGATACATCCATATGCACAGGAAATACTGTTTAGGGGTCCTGGCTGGAGTCTCCTTATACCACTATTATTAGTGCAGTCTGTTGGTAACCTGTCTAAATTTGATCTGAGCACCTCCACTCCTTCCCCTCCAGTGGGTTGGTTTACAGTACTGTCTTCCACTTCCAGCTGCTGTTTTCAGTCAGCTCAGCAGCAGTGAATTTCTCACCGTCACTAAAGTTATGCCTATGAGCTGCAGTAAATTTATTCTACTGACTACTTGCCCAAAATAATGTCAGTCGAGCTTCTGTTTGTTATTTTGCTTTGCCTGTCATCCTGGCCTCCCAACACCACACTTATGACCTATCGACACTGTTTTAGTGACCACAGAGTTTAACTGGGGCCCTGAGGAGACACCATAAAGCTGTTACTCCACGATGTCATATGGGCATTCCCCATCAAGTTGTCGGCTCTTTAAAAATATTAGGATGGTTGGTTGTCTTGTGCGTCAGTCTTGGAACTGAGTAAAGCCTTTCTTTTTCCTCAGAAGTTCTTCCTGTCTGAAGTATAGTGCTTGAAGGTTCATATTTTTCAGTGCCTTTAGTACTACAGTAATTTTTAGTCAAATAATGCTGCATTTGGAAGTCAGTTTCCCCCAGCTCCTCTTTCATGCAGTTACTCTTATTCCTCTCTGAAAGTCTGCTCTAGTATTAAAATCTAAGTTCAAAGCTGCCTACAGACTGCACATTGTGCCTGCTGGCTACAGGGTCAACCTCTGCCCTCATTTAGTGTGGCTCTGTTGCCTTCTAAAGTAATAATTGTCTGTTTCTATTATATCTATGCTCATACTTTCTTAGCTGTGTTGGCTCTTGCACAGGCATGGAAAATATAATGCAGGTAGAACTTCTTACTGAACTTCGCAACTATGGCTCTCAGCGCATACAAGCCAAGGTGTGAAAGGATGAGTAGTCATTTGAGGGTTTTCTGCTGGACATCATTAAGGGGCCCGTCTGACAGTCAACAGAAGGGATAAGTTTATATGGTCATCTGCTGCAGCAAGGGATTTCAGTCATTGACCTTAGAAGGCTTTTCCACTCTTATGTACTGGATCTGAATCCTGAGAAACTGTCTTCAGAGTCATAATTGCCAGAAAGTACTGACAGTACTTAATTCCTGTTCAGAGGGAGTAGGAGTGTGGAGTAGAAGTCTACCAGCTTTACATGGTCACCTTCAAAAGTGATTTGAATCGCCAGTTAAATCCTCTTTTTTTTTTTTTCCTGTTATGAAGTTGCACATATCTTTCTTTAAAATAGGAAGTATGATGCTGCCATATCAGTGTGTTGGATATCCAGAATGCCATGCTGACAGGACATGGTTTTCTGCTTTTCTGGTAATGTGAACTGTATGAGACCCACGAAGGTAAAAAGGATCTTTCATTCCCTACCCACTGGACACAAAAGGCTGATGCTTCTAAGTGTGTGATGTCCGGTGGCAGTGGATCACTGCTAATAGGGTTTTCCGTCTTTTATCCCTGGATCACTAGTTCAAATGCAGGTCAGGTCAGCAGCAGTAAAGTTAGTACTGGCTGGCTGTTGTCTGGCTTGTGAGATGAGCTGGAGTGGGTCTGAATTTTGAATCCAGGTAACTGTATCATTGCTGTTTCTATACAGCGGATTTTAAATACCATAAGCTTAATGTCAGTGTCGCAAGGAAATGAAAATACCAGCCCATCTCACACATGTCTACAGATAATAGCAGTTGACGTGAGTTGTCCTTAGGTTCCCTCTGGTGGCTGAGCGAGGTGTATGACTGCAGGCCCTGGAAGAGGCGTTTGCTGTCCTTAAAGCTGGCTGAAGATACACGCAGTTTTCATAGTTTCTGAGGAACCTCTGTCATATATAGGAGATGATCAGTGCTTCTGGTTTTGCTATCTTGGTCACCATCAAATTTCAGGGCACTAAATCTCTTATCCTTTGCTTGTGTCAGCTTGGAGATACTAAGTTTCTTTGCTTCAGAGAGTGAAAAATCTTAATGTTACAGACCATGTCTGTTGAGATTCACTCCTTTATTAAAACACAGGATTGTAATACAAGATGGGAAAGAAGCCCAGAGTGAAGTGAGGTCATTGGTTATCTCTTATGCTGTAGTAATGGAAGGGATCCTTCTGAAAATAATGTGATTTGGGGAATTAGTAACAAATTAATATTTTCTTTATAAATGTCATTCAGTATAAGAAGAAGTCCTTGCTTTTGGGTCTATATTCAGCTGATAAGAAGGGGCATTTGTTTGTTACTGCTAAGAAAGAGGTCATGCTGCTGGAAGTCTCTGACAGTGGGGGTTGCCACCCCTCAGGACTGGCTGGTGAGCAGGTGAGCCAAGAATTGAATGGAAACTGGATTATGCTGTTCTCAAGAAGTGATCTTTCCAGGTCAAGTTAAAATATCTTTTGATACTTGTTTTATCACTTAGGATTTCAGGCTGTTACTGCTCACTGGATAAACAGAGTTTAGTTTTCTGAATCTGGCTTCTGCCATTCTCACCTCTCTGCCAAATATACATTTGAGATTTCAGTCATTCCCTGGGTGCAGTGGTTGCTGCCAATGCTCGTTTAGTATTGAGTGAGCCATTAAGCATATGCATGTACTTAGAGTGAAAATAAGAGCCAGCTTTAGCTACTGCTAATGTATCTTCTTTCTTGGTTGAACCTTATTCTGTCAGTGACTGTCTGGTACATTGGAATATAGTCGATCCAGCATCTCAGATGGGAGAAGAATGCAGAACATTCCATCCTTGCCTAGGCTACTCTTGCAATTGAATCTTGTGAAATGTCAGACAGCTTGCACATGTTTGGTCTTAACTTTTTCAGTTGTCCTGGAAAGAGCTGAGCAAGATTTGAACTGTCTTGTCACTATGGGATAATTATGTTTTTGATGAAGCTAGAGATAAAAATACTAGTGATTTAGCTACTTATATACCCTCCTGGCTTATCTCTGGGTCCGCTTATTTCTGGATGAGTGTTTTAGCTGAAGGCACATTTTTAAGCAAAAAAGTCATCCTTACACTGGAATAAGAGGATACACAAACACTATGGAAGACTTTATCTTCAAAGGAAAGCTTTATTAGTAAGTGTTTTCTAAACACTTAGCTAGTTACAGAGTGGAGTTTGCAATAGAGGGATAATGCTGTTATAACTGTACTTGATATAGCTGTTTGGGAGTATGAACGAGATGCGTGAATACTTCCAGCCTTGGACATCTTCATGAGCAGAAAGGCCAGAAGCTCATGATGGATGAGAATCATAGCACGTTTCAGCCAGTCCTGTCTGGAAAATATGGGGGGGTGAAACAGAGGTGCATTATTCCTGCTCTGCAATTTGGACATGGGTAGTGTGACCTGGTCTCTATATTGTATAGCATTTCAAGATCCTGGGTGAAAGACATGAACAGTGTTACATCCTGTTTTTGTCCAAAATGAGCAGTATTTTATTAGCTGCTTCCCAGAATGTGATGTCTGCAACAAAGCACTGCTTGGAGAGAGGCCAAATCAGCTTTGACTGGGGATGAGATTAAGATGGAAATCTTTGCCCTCAGAGCATTCTCTTGTAGGATGGTTAGATTTCAGTTTAGATCAGGATTTCACAAACATTTATAGCCAGAAGAAACTACTTACTTGACAGTATCAACTTGCTGGCTGATGCCAGGCGAGGAATGCTTCATAATGGTACCCATGCCACAATTTAGGAACCTTGATCTCGGGACAGTATCCTAACATTCCCCATCTTGTTTTCCAGATCTAGAGATAAACAGTGATCTGAACAGTGATGACTTTGAATATGAAGATGAAGCAAAACTCGTTTTATTTCCTGATCACTATGAAATCCCATTGCCTAATATAGAAGAGCTACCAGCACTGGTCAGTGAGTGTGTGGAAGCTGTGATAGGAATTGTCTTCTACTTCAGTTTTTATCAAGATGGTGCTTTGTTTTCTCATGTGTGGTGCTTGGTTTTACATAAAGATCTTTTTTAATCAGCTGTAATAGAAATTTTTAAAACTCTGATTTGTCTTTGTTTCTTGCATTTCATTTTTACCTCCTGTATTCCTTCGCTTATTATGATGCCAGATTGTCCCAGGGAAACTCACTTAATACATGTGTCTGTTTTTACGCTAAAATAAAACTGCAATCCAGAAGATTACATGCACATTTAAGTATATAAATAGTGTTACTGATATCCAGTTCTGTAAGTGGTTGGCAGTGGGCTGAATGCCAAGTTCTGTCTAGTCACTGAATCATGTTAGGTTTTGATTGATGTACATTTGTCTTCCAGGTGACGATAGCTTGTGATGCACTCCTCAGTGCAAAATCACCCTACAGGAAGCAGGACCCTGACTCCTGGGAAGAAGAACTACAGGCATCTAAACATGCCAAAACACTTGTACAGTTAGACAATGGTGTTAGAATTCCCCCCAGGTAAGGGTAATAAGGTTGGTTTGTTGTAGATTCTCTAATAATGTCCAGAGGAACAGAATTAAAGCCAGCAACTCAGCCAACAGTTCTGCATGACTCTGGTCTGGGTGTGTATGCTTGGTTTTATCCACCATAACTGGAAATACAGGACTAGTTCCTGACTTACTTAGTTCTGTAATTTCTTCCTGTTTTCTCTTGCAGTGGTTGGAAATGCTCAAAATGTGACCTGCGGGAGAATCTGTGGCTGAACTTGACAGATGGTTCTGTGCTTTGTGGAAAGTGGTTCTTTGATGGCAGTGGGGGGAACGGGCATGCAATGGAGCACTACAAGGAGACAGGTTATCCCCTAGCAGTGAAGTTGGGAACCATCACTCCTGATGGAGCAGGTCAGCTGCCTAGCAGGCTCTGAGATGAGCTATCTTTTGTGCATGTGTATATCTATTACAAAGTGCGTTTGTACTTCTAGTATAAATCTTTCTGAGAGTGTGATATGCAAAGGAAGCCCTGTGAGTCTGTGAATCTTGATTGGGATAGGGAGGACCAACACACACTCCGTTTGGAGAAAGCCCTTACCTTTTTTATCTGCTCTGCTCCTGTTTCATATTTAGTGTAAATAGGTTTTTTGGGTTTGTATAATAGTAGATATGTAATAGAAGAACGGTATTATTTTGAGACAGTAGAATCCAGAGTAACAGTGGTTTTCAGTTCTACATTTGCTAGGGCATATGGTTCAATCTTATGTACATAGAAACAATAACAGGGAAATTATTTTTAAGTCAGAAAAGCCTGTTATTAACAGCATGTATGTTGTTTTTTTTTATACTGGAAACTGTGCTGGTTTTCCTTACTGTTTTGGTAACATTTGGTTCAGTCTAATGAGCACCCATCTTCATGGAGCTGCTGTGATGCACATTTGCAAAATGCCTCATGATCTTGAGAGGGGGAAGAAGGCTATAGAGGTATCTTTGTCACACTTGGAGAATATGCAAACATTCTGCATTGTTGCTGTGGAGGGTTATGGTGTGTGAGGATTAAATGGAGTAAATTCTTGAAGCTGAAAAAGTCATAAACAAAGCAATCCTTTGCTGTAGCAGTATGGAGAAATAAAAATGGCAGAACACGTAGCATAATTACATTTTGGGCTTAATGCTTATGACCATGTGGGGAAAGACAGCTGTTTAGAGCAGCCCCCTTTTTAACACATCAGTTGATTTTTTTTTTTTTATTTTTTTCATCTTTTTCCCATCTTTTCCTCCTATTCAGTGTCAAGGAAAGGAGACTGTAGTCAGATTCAGCCAGTGCTGCCTAAGAAACACTTGAGCAAAATTCATTCTTTTCTCTCCCAGATGGAATATTGTTTCCTTGCGTGAGTCTGGTCTTGGATGTTTTCCGTTTGAATCTCTGAATTATTGAAGGTGTTTAGGGTTTGCTCAGTTGTAGATTTCAACTGCATCTACAAAATAAACAAAATACTCTTTAATGGGTTTTGTGTTTGGGATAACAATGGACAGGCTGTCGTCCTTCCCTCTGAAAGAGGGGTACCAGCTGTTCTCCACAGACCTTTGCTCCTCTGGATGGTGTTTACTTGGTTTCCCTATAGAAAGGATGTCCTTCCCCAAACCCTCCTTGTTTCTTTTCCAGTAATTATTCTCTCTCTGATGTGTATTGCTGTGTTAATCATAACCTCTCAATAGGGCTGGATGACAGGTGAGGTTTGGGAAAGAGGGCTCCATGACTGATTGTGATGCGGAGTCTGTCTGGTTTCTGATTCCCTGGGCTGGAGGTGAAGAGGTGATGGTAGAGGAGTAATAAGCATTTAGTCCCTCTGCTGATATAACTTACTCCATTTTCACAACAGTAAGAGGAGAAAGACGTGGTGCCAGTATTCCACTTACACTTTTCCTGTGTATGAACAGAGGGAGCAGAGGAGAGCTGCTCGTGTAGGAAATGTATCTTATATACATTATGAAAGATTTCTGGAGCATTAGCCTTTTGTAGCATTCTGACAACAAATACATCTGAGATCAGTGCAGAAATTGAACCAGACTTCTGTCTTCTGCTCTTGGACCTTGGACAGGATGCACAAGTGTCAGAAATGTTGCTTGCTTCAATAGGTTGAGTAACTACTCTGCAGACTATGCAATGTGTTGCCTCTCTCGACAATGCCATTAGATTTCATTTCAAGACATTCTGAGATTGCGTGTTTAAAACTGCCTTGAGGAATGGGATGGGGATTTGACACTGGAAGCCATATCTGACAGATACTTGAATGAGTTACTTTGTGGATGCCAGTCTTGGCAATTGTCAGATACTTCTTTGGGGATCCTGAGCAATTTTTCTCTCCAGGGACAGTGTTGCCATTGGCTGTTATCCTTTAAGTAGGAAGGAGGGATGTCTATGCAGCCAGAACTTATATGAATAATAATGATTTTTTTCTCTTTAATAGCATTGTTATCTACCTCAGATTTTTCTTTTTTGTTTGTTTTGTTTTTTTGTTTTTGGTTTTGTTTTTTCTTTCTTTTTGTCCCCCTCCCTCCCTTTTTCCTCCTTTCTCACTTTAAGGATACCAGCTTTTGTGTGTCACATTTACCAACTTGTTTACATTTCTTGTCTACATTTGTCCATGTAACAACATTACAGACCTGTGTTTGTGGGATCTCATCCTCTTTTTAGGATTTGTTGCTGTTTGATTTTGATTTTATTTCTATTTTTTTTAAAGTGAATTATATCTCTCTCACATGAATTTAAGTTGAAAAGTACTAAAGCAGAAAGTATAAAGTATATGACACAAGCTGGGCTTGAGCAAAAGATTGTGGTTTTGTGTTCCATTTTTGCTGCTCTGGGTCAGTAGTCCCAGATGGCTGCTTTCTCTTCAGTTGCCAGAGCAGAGGAAAAACAAAATCAAACCTTCCACGTCGAAAATATTCACCCAAAATCAACTGATGTGTAGTCTCACTCCATTTAAATTTGAACTTTTCATGATCTGTTGGTTGCACCGTGACCTCACCAGAAGACTATGAGAATGTTGTGATGTCTTGTATGTGGATGAACAGTTGTATCTTCTGGGTATGGTTGCTACCACACAGTGGTATTCCAGCAGATGGGCAGCTACAGCCAGAGGCATGCCACAGAGGTCATCAGGATCAGTAATAGAGAGTCTGATGGCTATTCAGCAGCTGGCAGCACAACTGAAAAGTTCAATTCCTTGTTTTGAGAGTGTTTGTTTTTCATAGGGCTGATAAATTTAAAAAGTTGCATTAGATCTGTGAGCTCTTGGCTGACCTTCAGCTTATAATTTTAGTGTGAGTTTGGTACTATCAGTCTTCAAGGAAGCTGCCTTTTTGTTAGAAGTCTTACATACAGGATGGGCTGCATCAGAGCCAGGGTCTGTAGCTGCAAGGAGAGGGCAGGGTAAGGACATTTTAGAAGTTATATTTGTGCTGCAGACAGCTGTTATGTGGGTTCCTGCTCTCTTCTGGGTTTGTTTTATCTTTCCTCTGGCTAAGTTTTCTCTGTTAGCCTACATCTGGTCAAATGGGGAAAGGTCATTGTGAGAAAATGCTTGACATGAAGACGTGGCTGAGAAGCACAGCCAGACTGGCAGAGGGATTCTGGATTTTGGTATGAGTAGGGACCGAAGGAGGGAAGTAGTCATTCACTACAGAGGAAGAGGCCAATCCAGTGGTGTGCAATCCAATAAACACCTCTTTATTTCTAATGCAGAATTTCTCAGTTCTTTCTGCATCCCTGTGGGAAAAGGGCATAGATGGATTCCTTGAATTGTACTAGATATTAAAGTACCATTGGCAGTAGTCAGTTGGGCCTGTATACTCACAGTTTTGATGTGTCTGCCTGTATCTAATAGCTCCACAAAAATTCAGAATCTCTTGTTGTCATGTTCAAAATGCGGACTGGCCTCGTATCTGAGAATTTTGCATACCCTCGTGCTCTATTTCTTGTTTTTCCTACAAATTTCTCCTTTTTGGGAGGGAAATACTATAATACTATAAATGTTCTTAGGTTTTAATACTGTGAGCCATGTAATTTCTTCTGAGGAGAGTGGTTGAGGTGATTGTGTTGAGAACATTGAAGATATTTACTGAGCTATATGGATGTCTATGCATTTTTCTGCATTTTTCATAACCAAATTTGGTGAATATGACTGAGGCACGTTGTATAGGCAGTCCTGTACTGAGATTGAAATGTTGGTAAACAAAGAGAAGGAATAACATTTGATACTCATTGGTTTCTCTCTGCTTTCATAGATGTCTATTCCTTTGATGAAGAGGAGCCAGTTTTAGACCCACATATAGCAAAACATTTGGCACACTTTGGAATTGATATGCTGCAGATGCAAGTGGTAGGAAATCTGTCTTTTGTTTATTTTGCTTTTTACTTGTCTTAGCTGGGGGTGGGAGAGAAATGGGAGAATGATACTGGTAGTTTATATTTGTGTGATCTTTCAGACTGTTCTGATAGTATTTAATTTTGTAAAGCCAGACATTTCATGTTTAATTTTCTGAGGTCTGAGTGAATCATTACTCTTATCTAGTGGTCTTCCCTGGAAACCTATTTTACTCAGCAACATTGAAAACTTAGTCTTAGCTGTTGTAAAGGTTTCATCTCTGTTCTTCAGACCAGTCTGCAATTCTTAGTGAAGTAATGGAGTAGTGCCAGCAGTAAATGACAGTATAGTGATCCATACCTACAAGCTGTGAACAATTGATGTGTCTGAATGCTGAGCTGTAAAGGGGAGAAACTTCAGTGTCATAAATTCTGGCTTTTCCCATTTGAAAGAAGGGCATAATTCTTGGATATGCAGCTTTTTGTGTGGTTTGTTTGCTGGGATCAGCTTCTACAGCAGTTATTCCTGTTCATTAGAAGTGGAATATGAAACCTGAAATAATGCAGTGTTTTGATGAGGTCAGAGCCCTGTGTCGTGGTTTAAACCCAGTCAGGTAATTCATTCGCTCACTTCCCCCCCTTTCTTGCCCTCCCCCTGCTCTCGGAGGGACGGAGAGGAGAATCAAAAGAATGCAACTCCCACGGGTTGAGATAAGAACAGTTTAGTAACTAAGGTATAACACAAATCACTACTGCTACCACCAATGATAATAATGATAAAGGAAATAACAAGGGAACAGAATACAACACCTCACCACCCGCTGACCGATAACTCGCCCCCCAAGCCCGACCAAGCTCCGACCGATACCTCCTCCAACCCTGCAGTCTCCCAGCCCTTCCGGCTAACTCCCAGTTACATCCTGGGCATGACGTGCTGTGGTATGGAATAGCTCTTTGGTCAGTTTGGGTCAGGTGTCCTGTCTCTGCTTCCTCCCAGCTTCCCCTCCTCCCTGGCAGAGCATGAGGCTCACAAAGTCCTTGGCCAAACCAAAACATCTCTATCAGCTCTGTTCCCGAGCCGAAAGTCAAAACACTGCACTGCACCAGCTACCAAGGAGGAGAAACATGACTGCTACTGCTGAACCCAGGACATTATCCACCCCTTATTCCATACCATTCACGTCATGCTCAGATCCCACATTTTCAATATACCATCACTCTTATCTCGGTGCACTCTTATCTTAGTGCATGGACCAGTCCCTATAAAGCTGCTGCGTCCATCTGGTCCATGTCAGGCTCCATCTCTTGTAACAGTCTTCCAGAGCAGGAGAGACTGTGTGCAGTGTTCACACTCGTGAATAACCTGGGCAATAGTGTCCATTGCTAAGTCCACCCCTCGATCATGAGTCCATCTCTGTGTTGCATCTCTGCTCTGATGGCCTGAAGTGCCATGGGCCCACCAGGCTTAAAATAATTCACTGTCCCCTTAAGCAGTTTCTGCAGCTTGTTGCTGGGGACTCCATACAGCTGCCTTCCATCTATGACGCTTCCAAAGCACTGGAGGGGCCCAGTGGACTAGATACTTGCCCATACTGTCCCACACACCCTGCCACTCATGACTCTCCAGCCTTGGGGAAAATCTCTTGGTCCCCCTATATTGTTGTCTAACCCCAGACAAGACCCAAACCTGACTCTGCTTAACTTTTGAGATCAGACAAAACGGTTGTGGGTAGAACACAGCCTGTGTGTGTGCCAACATGCTGATCCCCATCACAATCAGCAGGCAGGTCCCAAGGATACCCAAAGGCCATTCAGAGCCTTCAGAACTCTCAAACGATGCTGCTGTGCTTGTCACTGGGGCTGGTGTAGCTGCTGTGCTTGCCGGCTCTCCCACCACCGGCTTCTCTTTTCCTGAGTCCAGCTCTTCCTCCTCTGCCTTGCTGGGAAGTGCTGCGTGGTCTCCTGCATCCTCCTGAGGCTCGGCGGGTGGCTGCCGGGGAATGCTCTCGGCCGTCGCGGGGCTCGGCTCCTCCGCGGGGCTCGGCTCTTCCGCGGGGCTCGGCTCCTCCGCCGCCTTCTCCCGCTGCTCGGCAGCCGCTTCCTTCTGCTCCTCGACCGCCCCGGCCTCCTCCACCGGCAGCCGTCCCCTGGCGGCCTCCGGCCCCGCTCCCGCCGCCGCTTGGTCCCCGGGGCCGCTCTCCCGGGCCGCTTCAGCAGCCGCCGCCTCCCGGGGCCGCTCCCCCTCGGCTCCCCGCAGCCTCACGAAGATGGAGAGTAGGGTGAGGGCCAGGACGGTGAAGAGCAGCCGGACGGCCAGGTACAAGTCCACGGCCACGTCCGTCCCGCCCTGCTGCTGGAGCCCGCCCGTATTACAAGCCATTGCCATAAAGCACAGTGAGACAAGAACCTTAGCCCAGGCCCCACACTTGATAAACACTAACACAGCAAATACCGGCTCTACATAAGTTACAACGGTCTGAAGCTGTGAGATCAAGAAGAACAACTCTGATACCCCCTGGCAGAGCATGAGGCTCACAAAGTCCTTGGCCAAACCAAAACATCTCTATCAGCTCTGTTCCCGAGCCGAAAGTCAAAACACTGCACTGCACCAGCTACCAAGGAGGAGAAACATGACTGCTACTGCTGAACCCAGGACACCCTGGTAGAAGTGAAGCTCCCAGCTGGGTTTGAGGTCACAACTAGGAACACTCAGCCAGTAGTCTGTGGTAAAGAGCTAAGATGTATATTAGCAGAAGAAGCTGCTAGTGTTCTGACCCCGATTTCCTCCGCTATGTGCAGGATTTACCTCTTTGCCTATTCGCTTGGCTCTTCTTTTCTAGAGTATAGATCTCAAGGCTGGTGATGATGGCAGCAGCATGATTCTTGCAGAAGTTAAACAGATGAGAAAAAAAATCATCTTCTTCCTTTCAGACAGAGAATGGGTTAAGAGATAATGATATAAAACCAAGAGTCTCTGAATGGGAAGTGATTCAGGAAGCTGGTGTGAAACTCAAGCCCATGTATGGCCCAGGATACACTGGCATGAAGAACCTGGGAAATAGCTGCTACCTCAATGCTGTCATGCAAGCTATTTTCAGCATCCCAGAGTTCCAGCGAGCGTAAGTAGCTTCAAACTAGTTCTTGTCACCAGCTGCTGCATTCCTCAATCTCTTTTTCTAAGAAAAAGGTATTTTCATTTTTGTCTCACCTGCAGACAGGTCTCTTTCAGTCAGTTCAGTGGCTTCTTAGAGGATTTAGTGATTGTATTCTGTTCTGGAAAATGCTGGAATACAAAACCCAATCTGCCTTTGAAATCAGAACTTCTTAACTTAGCTTAGTGGTGGGAGATAATATGCCACCTTGTAAATTTGATTGATCTGTCAGAAAACCACAGGCTGTCCCTGTTTTTCATATATGTATGTATAGATATCAGTATATATGTATCATCAGTAACACATTAAGGTTTTTTATAGTGGCCCATGCCTCTAAAGGTGCAAGAATCATTCTATTGCTCCAGTGTCATTTGTGCAAAAAAAATGTACTGGCACAAACATGCTAATATTGATCCATGCTAATGTAAAGCAGTGCACCTTTTATGTGCAGGTCTGGCTAAAAAGAAGGAAACTATCAGAGGCATTTTAAAATTAATGTTATTATTAAAAAAATTAATCTCATTTCATGAAAAGGGTACTGTGAGCATCTTCTTCCACTGAATTTTGGGGCTGTTCAGCCTGCAGAAGAGAAGGCTGAGTGGAGACCTAATAGCAGCCTTCCAGTATCTGAAGGAGGCCTATAGGGATGCTGGAGGGGGGCTCTTCATTAGAGACTGTAGTGATAGGACAAGGGGTAACGGGTTAAAACTTAAACAGGGGAAGTCTAGATTGGATATAAGAAGGAAATTCTTCCTGTTAGGGTGGTGAGGCACTGGAATGGGTTGCCCAGGGAGGTTGTGAATGCTCCATCCCTGGCAGTGTTCAAGACCAGGTTGGACGAGGCCTTGGGTGATATGATTTAGCGTAAGGTGTCCCTGCCCATGGCAGGGGGATTGGAACTAGATGATCTTAAGGTCCCTTCCAACCCTAACTATTCTATGATTCTATGAATTAAAAGAGTAAAAGGACAAAAGCACAACAGAGGACTATGAAATATTCGTGACTGTTCAAAGCTGATCACAACCTTCCAAGGAGGGCAGCCTTTTTATAAGGGACCATCTATGGTTTGCAATAAAATTCAGAATGCTCTTTCATTCCACAGCAGTAGTAGAGTGTGTGCTGGAGTAAAGCTTTTAGATTTTGGAAAGCCTTCCAGATTTTCATGTAGCAATTGCCTTCTGGAGAAGAAGAGGGAGAAGATGTATAGTTGTTTTTTTTTAATTGCTTTTTCTTTTTTTTTTTTAGCCATATGGAGTACAGTCTGTAGGTTGTAGTCTGCCAGTTTTTCTACCTCCATTTTCAAGACATACTAAAATGGGCTTTAAAGGGAGATTGTTTTCCCACAGCATGGTCCTTGGAGTTACCTGGAGCACTTCTCATCAACCAAGTAGTGAAGATCTTTGATGAAAGAGGGACTAGGAAGAAAGGAGATGTGTTCTTTCAACTTGGCTGTACCTACCTACCCTGTTTTTTCTTGTGCTCAAGGGAAGCAGTGCTCAGATAGCATAGTACTGAATGTCTCACTGTCCAACAAACTGTCTATAATAATGTATACCTCAGCATTTACTGTCGAGTTAGCTTTTGTTTCTCTGAAAAACGTCATAGAAACATTCTTTTTACATGTTTTCTTCCTGATACAAATTTGGAATTTATTTGCTGATGTTGATTAAGAATAAAAAGTACATTGATTCTCAACCCAGCTCTGTTTTGACATCAAAACATAACACCATCCTGAAGCTATTTCAGGATCACAGAATAGAATTTAAATTCCAGATGGCCACCAACCACCATATCTTTTATAGCTAGAAACATCTAAGCAAAACCTGAATGTCCATTTCCTAATTTCTTTATTACTCTTTTTCCATGACAGAAGCACTCACAAAGGATAGATTAAGTCACTGCTATGATGCAAAAGTTGACGTGTTAGCGCAGGGGAAGCCTGCTAATGTATCATGCTGAGGATCTGCTAGGATATTCTTCAGTAAATCTAACTGCGTTATTTAAATGTTTCTGCTTTGTTCTTGCTGCCCAGGTATGTAGGAAACCTTCCACGAATATTTGACTACTCCCCTCTTGATCCAACGCAAGATTTTAGCACTCAGATGTAAGTGACGCTTCTCAGTGATTTACTTGGTCAAGTTAAATAGAATCTAAACAATTTAATGACAGAGTGAAAAAACACCTCTGTGTGGGCTTGAAAGTGAGATATGGCACAAGGTAGAACGGGAAGATTTGCCCACTTAGTTGCAGGTGATGATCTTTCAGCAGGGGGTCAAAGACAGTAAACTTCTGCTTGGAATAAAATTTCTTTTTTTTGTTTTTCTCACATTTGTTTCTACCCCATCACTCTTTTCCCTACAGGGCTAAACTGGGACATGGCCTCCTTTCAGGCCAGTACTCTAAGCCTCCCATGAAATCTGAGCTTATTGAGCAGGTGATGAAAGAAGAACACAAGGTATTTGCCTGAGTTTGTACAGCCTGGTAACTAGGTAAAAGTGATATCCTGAGAAAAGGGAACAGGTGCTGGGCATTGAAGAGCATGTGTGGATCTGTCATGGGATGCTTAGCAAGGTGGAATGTGCAGGATTTCAGTCAGGAATATATTAGTCAGGGGCTATTTGTGCAAAGCATCAAAGTAACCACTGGTTCTGCTAATAAAGTATGCTGCTGCTCCAGTGATGAGTGCAAAAGTTCATAAAACTTCCAACTTACGTTTATCTTCTCTGAGGAACAAAATAAAAAAGTTATCTAGAGAATACTGTGAATTTGGAAGCAAATTTCTAAACCCTCTTTAATTTCAGAAAGAATTACAAAGAGCTAAACAGTTGTTTCCAGGATGTGTCTGACAGAATTCCGCCTGATTACAGGAGAAGCTGTCTGGGTAATGCAAGATTAAGTGGTTGGAAGCCTTCATGTAGATGAAGGAAGGACCATGCAGAGTCTTGTCTGCTGGGGCTTTACTCAGGTTATTTCATGGTACAAAAATCACTCAGAAACATGTCTGTACCAGTGTGATCTATACTGAGAACAGCAGTGCGTGTGGGTTTTGATATAAATTGAAACTCTAATTGCCAGACAACCAAGGGAGAAGAATGTATGTATCCTGATTTATAATAATTCACAATAGAGAAAAATATTGGAATCAGCTTTTCTCAGAATAGGCAATTTCAGAACAAAGGAATACTGAGGGGCAAGAACATCCTAGATGCGAAAGAGAGGAACTGGAGGATAAAACAACCTTTTCTCTCATGTTTACATAATACAGAATTTTATTTCTCTGTCATTGTGTTACCAGTGGGAGACTGTCCTTTTATTTTTACTGTAATTTGCAATAATTTTTGCAGCAAAGCAGATACTTAGCTCACTATATCTAGCTAGTATCTAGCTTTGAGAACTCCATTATTGTTCTGTAATCTTCATATTGCCTTTGTGGTGGTCTGTCAGCAACAAGAAAGTTGCTTGTTTCTCTTATGCTTCAAAAATCATTAAGGCATGTCTTGGCATTGTAATATCCATGGACCCATGTCTTCATCTGTTTGTGCTTTTCTCCTTCTCCAGCAATGAGTAAATTCACTCATAGTCATCAGAAAGCCACTTCATATTCTTTGTCCAGCAGCCTTTTGGTTTCAGCAGTAAGGATGATCTTTGAAGGTCTTACTGATTTCTTTGTATTAACAAGGTTAATGGGCATTGCCTGATTCACTGGATTATTTTTTTTGCTTGTTCTTGCTTGATGTTGTGAAGTAATCACAGTAGCTTAGTGGTGAGATGGAAAAACTCTTCTCTTTTTGTCAGTTGGCTTAAGCTTAACATCACCCTTTGGAGAGTGAGATCAGTTCAGGTTTTGCTGTTCTGCTTAAACTCTACTGGCTTCGAAATTGCCTTTGTTTTCCCTGGAGTCATCCAATTAACAGCTGTCTTAAGCAAAATACTGGTTATTGGGACTATGTTATCTGCCCAGGCAAACATGTTGGTTTGGGTTTGTTTTATTACTCAAGCATCTGGTTTAGAGTGGTACTGGGAACACTGGACTTAGAATGTTTGTATCCCTACAAGCCTCCCGTTATTGTGACCCCAAGCAGCATATGGAGTCAACCCACAGACTCCTTTGATGGGATATTTATAAATAAAAGGTCAACTAATAACCAGTACTGAAAATGCTACCTGTAGAAAGAGCTGTCTTTACGGAGAAAGAATCTCTGATGCCAAGTTGTAGTTTTCTACACAGTAGAAATCATGCACACTTCTGTCACAGAAGCTTGGTGTGAGTTCCCCTGGTAATAGATATTTTCCTCTACCAGTTGCTGATACAGGAATTCCTCCTGAAATCAGAATACCAAGGAGATTTTGGACAAAGAGCATCTGGTACAGAGTAGTTTGCAAGATCTGAAATCCTGAGTAGTTGCTTTGTATAGTAGCTATTCAGTGTTTTGAAACAATGAATGAATCTTGTTTGTTTTCTTTAAATGGTTTAAAACTTAATCAGTTGCATCACTGTGACTAAGGAATAGTGGAGTAATTTCAACAGACTTATTTGCTTTCTTAAATGCACACAAGATATGAATGAAGAATAACGTGCTGAAGTTCAGGGATTTGAACTGTTTGAATGAAGTGTCTCTTTCATGTTTAGCCCAGCAGCCACTACTAGCAATGAGATACTAAGATTTTTTTAATTACAGATGGTATCAAACTCTGTCAGGAAGTAGTAGCCATCTGCTGGCATTTCACAATACTTGTGTTGTTCATAAGTTCAATTTAATAAAGTAGTAGTTACATGTGGCATCAGATGACTTCCTTAACTAATTCATAGCATGTATTAGGATTTGAAACAGCTTTTACTGATTTTGTTCTTTGTATTGTAGATTTATTTTAAAAGAAAAATCAAGTGTAGATATTTTCTCCATTCCCTTGCTCTGGGCATAGAAATCTGTTTTTGTCAGTCTGGTGTGCTTTTTTGTTTGTTGTATTTCCCCTTCCCCCAGTAATACTGGTGTGTGTACAGCTAGTATTTTCTCATCCAGAGAGTTGTATTGATATTTATAATAAATATAATTGCATAGGATTTTAGGCCTTCAGTGGTTTCAAGCGTTTCTGCTTTCTGTCTATAAAATCAATTATTAATTTTATTTTCTTTTTTTTCACTTTTTTTTCTCACCTCTCCTACATCCAAAGTTCTCTAGTTTTCTGGGTCTTTGGAATTCATCCAGAGTTATGGGGGGTTGTTGCCTGTAAAAGCATTCGTATGAGATCTCCAGTGGTCCAGCACAGTCTATATTTAGCTGATCTGTTCTGCAACTGTTGATGGGGAAAGTATGCTAGGTATTCTATAAATATTCATGGTACTGTGCAGCTAAAATTTTTAACTGGGGGATTTTAGTCTGGAGATGGCAGGAGTTTTCTTGTACCCACTTTAACATTAAAAACAAGCTGAAAGCCTAAAGAGTTGTCAGCTAGGACCTGAATTTCTACTTAGAGCTTTGCCATTTCTTTTGTTATTTCACTTGAAGTAGAATGGGTTTAGAGGGCAGGGCCCAGTCCTCTTCTAAAGACTGTCATGCTTGACATGTTTCTCTTCTCCCTGCTCAAATGGCTGAGTAAGTGGTGTATGGGTGGAAGCAGGCCTTGATTCCAAACTTACTCCATTATACATCAGGGCAAATGTGCCACATTGCCATATTTTTGCTTCTGATGTACAAGGAAGCCTGATATATAGTAATTTGAGCTGGTTTATGCATTCTTCTTCCTACTCCTAGCTTTGATGAATGGCAGATGAGGACTCTGAAGCTATATATATGTGTGTGTGTGTGTATATATATATATGTATATGTGTATATATATGTATATGTGTATATATATGTATATGTGTATATATATGTATATGTGTATATATATATGTATATGTGTGTATATATATATGTGTGTATATATATATGTATCCCAAGATTCAGAAATCACTAGAATATCTCTTTGTTCAAGCAATACTGATACTGTCTCTCTATGAGAGCCTTTAAAGAGCATTTGAGCCTAATGTGGTTGCTGGTGTACTGCCAGAAATTGAAAAAGCATTAAAATCGAGAACCTACTTTTGAATTCAGTGGATCTAGGAATACCTGGTGAAACCAAGAGTAAAATTTTGCTCTTCTAGTGTGTGTTTTATGTGCCTTCCATTTTATGCTGCTTTTTCTATTTTCATATTGCTGTGGTAGCACAACTGTAGTAAAGAATGAGGTTGGCCAAGTTTTTAACAGCTTCTAATATCCTAAAGGCTGGACTTCTGGTTGGTTTGTCTTGAAAATTATTTGGTGTCATGGAGGATGAGGGCAAATTTGAGTAAGAGATTCTGACCCTTTCAACTGTGTTATTTAAAAGGCTTAATAGCTAGTTATGTCTTTAGGATGCCATTTGGGGTGGTTCAAAGGCTTCTTGAAATGGTATAGAGGGTGAGAAAGTAAAAACTAGGACTTGGAAACTAAAGATTTTCTAGTTCAGGGTAGTTTCCTACTGAAACTAAAGCAGTATGTTATGGTCCTTCAACATGGCCAACACTTGCAAATTCTTATCCCTTCTTAACAGGCCATCTGGGAAGGCATGCTGCACACATTAGTTGTTCCCTGCTTGATTCTGTAGAGATCTCTGGAAAGGTTATGTCCTGAGTAAAGCTGCTAGCTGACATACCAAAGTGCTTCATGCCCACATATATTTAGGTGGAACAGGGTTCTGAAAAAAAAGTCAGGTTTTAGAAAACAGTGCAAGCCTTTAGCCTTCTGGAAACTACTAACCTTTAGGAAACCTTGAGTAATCTCTTTTAACCTGCAAATGCCATAGAAAAATCAGATAGAGTGAATGTTGTAGGAGCTATGTTATAATACATACTCTAAACTCTCAGATCATGTTTATTAAAATGGAAAACCTGATGAAACCAAAACTATCATTTCTACAGTGGCAGAAATGGGTCCTAGATAGATCTAGTTGAGTAACTTTGGGATATTTGGTCCAGGAATTAATGTTTTAAAAGGTTTCTCTTTCTTCTGTTTAGGCTCAGCACAATGGAATAGCTCCTCAGATGTTTAAGGCTTTTATAAGTAAAGGCCACCCAGAATTTTCCTCTAATAGACAACAAGATGCACTGGAATTTTTCCTACATCTTATAAATCTAGTAGAGGTGAGAACCTGAATTACTTGTTTTCCCTGTTTATGTTAGACAATGAGGATAGAGCTGAGTGGCTCAGGTTTTTTGTTATACTTTTTTAGCTTGGGTACCTAGAAAATGGCACTGATTGAAAAGTATTTTGGTTTATAAACACTTGTTTCTTTAATACTTCCTTCTCTTTACTTCAGACCCTTCTCTGTGTGACCACACGCAATGCTAGTGCTACTGATAACAACAGCTAGAGATATAGAAAGGTCAAGCATTACTGTACAGGCTATAAGATTTATAAACATACATGACTGTCCTTTTAAATTGCTGTTCATTTTATGATTACATACTACATTGAAGTCTGTCTTGGAATATTAATGAATTGGCTATTATTATTATTACAAATTTATATCATAGTTGGGAGTGAACTAATTACCATGTCCAGTTCTCTTACAAGTCCCAGCTCTACATCAGTGGGTCATTATGGGAGGAAGGACATCTCCCACAGCAAAGTGACTCTTTGTCAGTTGAATATTTCTGTATAAAATTACAGTATAAAATCTGTTAGTTCCACTGAGCTCCAACTCAATGCTGTGTGTAGAATAGTCAGTACTGTGCATGTTAATGATGTCTTTCTGAAAAGCAAATTTACAAATATATGTGGCTTTGATTTAAAGCACTTTTCTTGCCCATCCTTCCACCCTCTTCTTCCCTTTTCCCCCAAGAATTGAGGGTATTTATTGACGTTTTACAGTCTAGATGAAGTTATTCACATTTGCATGCATTGTGTTCCATATCCCAAAATACATGTACTGATTATAGGATGGTTAGAAGACATTTTCTGGCTTTTGCCTGATAAGACATTCACTTGAACAATAAAGAGGAGGTATATTATTTGTATGACATTCCCATCTGGACAGTGAACAAGTTGCTTGTTCTGTTTCAGTGCAGATTGAGAGTGGTAGGATAAATTCTGTTTGCTGAAAGGATGCTCCATGTTGTTTACCTGAGCTTTCTATCTTTATTGTAACCTGCCACCTTTGTATCTTCTTTTGTTCACCTTGACTCATTCAGATTTATTAGGACACACTCTGAAAGTTACTATGTGTAGAGAGATACCGCTGTGTATTGCGGACTTCTCTGTGGATGTAAGAGTTCTACATGCAGTAAAATCGATGTAGAATCACAGCAGCATGAGCTGCCAGATCTAGTGCGAGATTGTTGTCTTTGTGCTTGCCATAAAACAATCAGGAGCCTTTGGCTTCTCTGGTCATTTTAATGATTGTCACTTAAATGATCTGATCTGATTTTCCTTTCAGAGGAACCCTGTAGGATCAGAAAACCCTAGTGATGTTTTCAGGTTTCTGGTGGAAGAACGCACACAATGCTGCCAGTCTAGAAAGGTCCGCTACACGGAGAGGGTGGACTATATCATGCAGTTACCTGTTGCCATGGAGGCAGCAACAAACAAAGGTAAGGAAAGCAACTAGTTTATTGACTGACCTTCTGGTGACACTCAGTCATGAGGGAATGAAGTTCTCACCAGTGTATGATCTCTTTCCATGGATAGAATGGTTCAAGGCCATGTGGCAAATCACACCAATGAACTGATTGGGGAAGTTACTTGATTTAGTTTTTTTTAAAGAAGATTTTACCCACGCATCAGTTTGTGGCTATACCGTTCCTGCTTATATTATTAGGGAAGGAGGATTCTACCTAGATGCTCTTGGCAAGTTTTCAGACAGATTTCTCCTCAAGCTGTGTGTCCTGGGTTCAGCAGTAGCAGTCATTTTTCCCCTTCTTGGTAGCTGGTGCAGTGCAGTGTTTTGACTTTCAGCTCAGGAATAGAGCTGATAACGATGTTTTGGTTTGGCCAAGGACTTTGTGAGCCTCATGCTCTGCCAGGGAGGGAGGGGAAGCTGTGAGGAAGCAGAGACAGGACACCTGACCCAAACTGACCAAAGAGGTATTCCATACCACAGCACGTCATGCCCAGGATGTAACTGGGAGTTAGCCGGAAGGGCTGGGAGACTGCAGGGTTGGAGGAGGTATGGGTCGGTGCTTGGTCGGGCTGAGGGGGGGCAAGTTATCGGTCGGCTGGTGGTGAGGTGTTGTATTCTCTTCCCTTGTTATTTCCTTTATCATTATTATCATTGGTAGTAGCAGTAGTGATTTGTGTTATACCTTAGTTACTAAAAGTTCTTATCTCAACCCGTGGGAGTTGCATTCTTTTCGATTCTCCTCTCCGTCCCTCCGAGAGCAGGGGGAGGGCAAGAAAGGGGGGGAAGTGAGTGAACGAATTACCTGACTGGGTTTAAACCACGACAGTTCTTTTTGGCGCCCAACGTGGGGCACGAAGGGTTGAGATAACGACAGATCTGTCCGGATTAATAGTCACTCATCACAATGACGATTTATTGGCTCTCAGAGTTGTTTCTCTTTATCTCACAGCTTCAGAATGTTGTAACTTACGTAGAGCCGGTATTTGCTGTGTTGGTGTTTATCAAGTGTGGGGCCTGGGCTAAGGTTCTTGTCTCACTGTGCTTTATGGCAATGGCTTGTAATACGGGTGGGCTTCAGCAGCAGGACGGGACGGACGTGGCCGTGGACTTGTACCTGGCCGTCCGGCTGCTCTTCACCGGCCTGGTCCTCACCCTATTCTCCATCTTCGTGAGGCTGCGGGAAGCCGAGGGGGAGCGGCCCCGGGAGCTGGCGGCTGCTGAAGAGGCCCGGGAGAGCGGCCCCGGGAACCAAGCGGCGGCGGGAGCGGGGCCGGAGGCCGCGAGGGGACGGCTGCCGGTGGAGGAGGTCGGGGCGGTCGAGGAGCAGAAGGAAGCGGCTGCCGAGCAGCGGGAGAAGGCGGCGGAGGAGCCGAGCCCCGCGGAGGAGCTGAGCCCCGCGGCCGAGCCGAGCCCCGCGGAGGAGCCCAGCTCCGCGACGGCCGAGAGCATTCCCCGGAAGCCGCCTGCCGAGCCCCAGGAGGATGCAGGAGACCACGCAGCATTTCCCAGCAAGGCAGAGGAGGAAGAGCTGGACTCAGGAAAAGAGAAGCCGGCGGTGGGAGAGCCGGCAAACACAGCAGCTACACCAGCCCCAGTGACAAGCACAGCAGCTACACCAGCCCCAGTGACAAGCACAGCAGCTACACCAGCCCCAGTGACAAGTACAGCAGCATCAACTGAGAGTTCTGGAGGTTTTGAATGGCCTTTGGGTATCCTTGGGACCTGCCTGCTGATTGTGATGGGGATCAGCATGTTGGCACACACACAGGCTGTGTTCTACCCACAACCATTTTGTCTGATCTCAAAAGTTAAGCAGAGTCAGGTTTGGGTCTTGTCTGGGGTTAGACGACGATATAGGGTGACCAAGAGATTTTCCTCAAAGCTGGACAGCCATGAGTGGCAGGGCATGTGGGACAGTATGGGCAAGTATCTAGTCCACTGGGCCCCTCCAGTGCTTTGGAAGCGTCGGAGATGGAAGGCAGCTGTATGGAGTACCCAGCAACAAGCTGCAGAAACTGCTGAAGGGGACTGTGAATTATTTTAAGCCTGGTGGGCCCATGGCACTTCAGGCCATCAGAGCAGAGATGCAACATAGTGATGGACTCATGATCGAGGGGTGGACTTAGCAGTGGACACTATTGCCCAGGTTATTCACGAGTGTGAGCACTGCACACAGTCCTGCTCTGGAAGACTGTTACAAGAGATGAAGCCTGACATCATGGACCAGATGGACACAGCAGCTTTATAGGGACTGGTCCGTGCACTAAGATAAGAGTGCGCCGAGATAAGAGTGATGGTATATTGAAAATGTGGGATCTGAGCATGACATGAATGGTATGGAATAAGGGGTGGATAATGTCCTGGGTTCAGCAGTAGCAGTCATTTTTCCCCTTCTTGGTAGCTGGTGCAGTGCAGTGTTTTGACTTTCAGCTTGGGAACAGAGCTGATAGCGATGTTTTGGTTTGGCCAAGGACTTTGTGAGCCTCATGCCCTGCCAGGGAGGAGGGGAAGCTGTGAGGAAGCAGAGACAGGACACCTGACCCAAACTGACCAAAGAGCTATTCCATACCACAGCACGTCATGCCCAGGATGTAACTGGGAGTTAGCCGGAAGGGCTGGGAGACTGCAGGGTTGGAGGAGGTATGGGTCGGTGCTTGGTCGGGCTGAGGGGGGGCAAGTTATCGGTCGGCTGGTGCTGAGGTGTTGTATTCTCTTCCCTTGTTATTTCCTTTATCATTATTATCATTGGTGGTAGCAGTAGTGATTTGTGTTATACCTTAGTTACTAAACAGTTCTTATCTCAACCCATGGGAGTTGCATTCTTTTCGATTCTCCTCTCCGTCCCTCCGGGAGCAGGGGGAGGGCAAGAAAGGGGGGGGAAGTGAGTGAACGAGTTACCTGACTGGGTTTAAACCACGACACTGTGGGACCACCATTAAGTGTCACCACTCAGCAATATATCACAGAGAATGGCAGCAGTTTATTTGATAAAGATGTCAGTGATTTATGATTTAAGACCTTAACCTGGATTTGACTCAGGGATGTGCCACACCACTCGTACTACAATTTATTTACCCTTGTTTTTTTTTTGCATATGTGTGCCCAAAGATTGTCATCAGGATTGGATTTCTTTTGTTCTGGACAGTGAACTAGTATATAAAAATTTCTTAATTCTAAAAAAGGAATCAAATATACTAGGCAATAAGTATCTTGTGAAAACAAGCATGTACTCACAAAACCCAACCAAGCAAAAAAAAAAAAACCCACACCAAAAACTAACCAAACACCCCCCCAAAAAAAAAAAACAAACAAAAAACCCAACACAAAACTCCCCCCACATTGGCTTTGTATTTATTAGCAGCAGATGATAAGGCCTAACACGATGATAAAGAATAGGGTTATAAGGCAGTTTGTTGTCTATTATGCCAAAATACACAATTTGGATATCTAGAGCTTTAGGAGAGGTGGGAAGGAGGATGAAGTGGCGGACGTTAGTTTAATATACAGGGGTGTTTTTTTCATGTCTGTGAGCTGCCTGAAACTGCATACTTTTTTTTTAAAGGAGAAAATGTCTGAGGAGGCTAGAGGACTTGGAAGCAGGAGAGAGGTACTGACACATCTTGGTTGCCCTGCAGTCAGTGGTGAAGAGTGTTGTAGGTTAACAAAATAAACATATGCCTGAGGTGGAAGTGAAGGGCACATCACAGGTGCATGAGAAGGGGGATCTTCCTCTGGTTTCCTGCATAATCTCAAAATGAAAAAAATATTTTAAAGCCAGAAGGAGCTATCCTGGTTATTTGATCTGATCCTTTGAAATAGCACAAAACACAGTTCCACCTACTGCTTTCTACCTAGCACACAGGTTCTTGAATGGGACAGTGTTTTAAAATGACCATTTTGACTTGAAAATCTAAGGTTTGTAGAACTTTACATTCTTTGTTCATCAGTTTCAGTGATAATTCTGTGCTTATAAAATGGCATGTTATTTTCAGGCAACGGCTCAGGAGGTATATTAGATTTTGAATTTAACAAACAGTGCTGCTCAGCTTGCCAGTATTAGGATTCTTTCTGTATTGTATATAATCCTGTCCTGTCTAGAAAGTCAGATGTCACAAACAGCAATAATTTTCCAAGTCATATTGAGCTGATAAAGCAGGTAGTTGGTGTTCTCATTAACACAGGATTCTCACTATCATGGCAAGATTTTAATTGCCTGTTGCCCAGTATTACCAGTTCTATGTTGTCACCATGAACAGAAGCCTTCAAAAAACAGGTGTGGTTGTGAGTGTGGCTCCTGACCCCAATGCAGACAAAAAGATTTGATACCTAGTTAAAGCCATAGAGTGTTTTATTGATAAGTGGGGTTTTGCATTTCTAAAACATTTAAAAATAAGACTGGTGAGGGACATTATAACCATGACAATGTTCATTTAGCTATTACTGTGATATGTATTTCTCAGATGAATTAATTGCCTATGAATTGAAGAGGCAAGAAGCAGAAGCTACAAGGAGACCTCTACCAGAGCTTGTCCGTGCCAAGATCCCATTCAGTGCGTGTCTGCAGGCCTTTTCTGAGCCAAGCAATGTAGAGGACTTCTGGAGCAGTGCCCTTCAAGCAAAATCTGCAGGAGTGAAGTAAGTGTGTGTCTGGCTGCCTATGAAAAATATGTATGGTAGTGCTGTGTGGTTATTTTGGTACCTGGATATGATGCAGAGAGAAACAGACAAAGGCATAGCGGGCTTCGGTATTATATTAGTGTTGGAGTTCACAAATGTAATGTGTAGATCAAGCCTGATGGGAGTTGTAATGACCAACTGAGCAGGAAAGAAATTTTTCTCGTCAGACTTCAGGAAGTGATGTGTTCTGGTTGTTAATAGTTTGAACTTTAAATGCTTGTACCTTAATTGTCTGCCCATGTTTTAAAATTGGATCCTATGTATCACATAGTCATAGAGCTCTGTACTGTGTGGTAGGAGATACAGTCTGTATCTCTGTGCTTAGTCTCTTAATGTCTCATTTCACTAAGGATGCTGAGGGGCATTGTATGACAACAAAACAGGGTGAAGCAAACAAAAGTGTTTTCTTCTGAGAAAGTTCTTTAGATAAATGGAAACTTTTGCATTTGTGAAGTGATGAAAACTTTGGGTTTATTATGTTGTCATATTTTATATTATTGTTTGCATTTGGATTTCAACCCATCTCCTTTGTATGCTACAGTGTTTGGTTGCATCTGATAAGTTTGCTGTAGCTTACATGGGGCCATGGTACAAAGTGGACATATTAAACAAGGAAACCCTGTGTGTTTATAATGAGGTAGATAAAAGAACCAAAACCATCTTGGGCTTAAAAAAGCATTAAGAAGAAATAGTACGGCAGACAGAGATAAGTGCAATTCTCAGGGGCAGTATTTCTTGCTGAGAACAAGAGTTTAGTCTCTCATCTGGCTTCATTTTTATGTCAGCAGCAAGGAGTGGTTGAAAATTACGCTCTGCAACTGGTTTGCTAAGTGACTAGGTAGGTTATATTTTTAGATCACTTAGCATACCAATGACTCATTGCTGTCTTAGGATATAGTTTCAGTGACTTTGTATTGAAAATTGGGAGACAAGTGTACTTGGTGAAGAGAAATTCAACAATCTAAAGGGCTTTTGTATTAACCATGAACATATTGGAAGAACATTCTAGTCTTTAAGTATATCCAAGGTTAATTTGTAATATAGCTGTTCTTCATCCTCTAGGTCTTTACAAATACTGAAAGATGAAGAATAATTTGCTATTTAAAATTATAATTTTTCATGCTGCAGATGAGAAAGTTACTAAAATTGTAAGGTGGTGCTCTGAAGAATTTAGAAAGTAGTTACTTATTGTATGGTAAGAAGACCTTATATTTAGGATGCATTTACTGTACTTGACCCAGAGAGGAAAAGAATGGTGGTACATATAATGTTACACTGTGTTCAGGTTAAACTTTTTGTTAATTGGGTAAATATCAGGGATGCCCTTAAACTTGAGTCATCCTCTATTTTGATAAATATTACAGTAGCTGAGTAAGAATATCGTAAGATTTTTTTTTTTTATGCAGCACTTCCATGTGAAAAACTACAAATGACAGCTTTTTCAATCTTTGCTAAATAAAATGCCTTATGGGTGGACTGATACATCATGGGCAATGCTACTGCTACTAGAAAGGGAGTGAATAAAATGCAGATTGAATTTTACTCTATTCTGTCCAAGATGTGTTTTGAGCCTGTGCCCTGATGTTCTAGTCAAGTGTCATTCAGAAATTATTTCCTCACATTCAGCTTCAAAACACCTTGAGTGAGCAAGTTTAATACTACTTTTAATTGTTTTCTATAGTCTTCCTAGAAGCTGAATTGTCTGCAAGGGTTTGAGCTGACATTCAGGGTATGGATGTATAGAAAGGTATTGCCATACTTCTCCACTGCACTTGGAAATGTCTTTGTGAAGTTTGTTTATAAAATCCATCACTTGATCTCACTCAGGGCTCAAGTTATTCATCTCAGTGTGCATGAAGTACTGAAATCTGTGCTGCCTGTGATTTTGTTTCAATGAATTGTGTTTCTTGTGCTTCCCAGGACTTCTCGGTTTGCTTCATTTCCTGAATACTTAGTGGTGCAGATAAAGAAATTCACCTTTGGCCTTGACTGGATACCCAAAAAGCTTGGTATGTGCTTTTTAGATTTACCTTTTTCTCATTCTGCCCAAAGTAATCTGCAAGATTACAAAGTACACACTTTGGTCTATAATGAGAACCTGGATTGAGTCTTGGGTTTACACTGTAAAGATCCTAGCTGAATCTTCTTTCCCCCAAACTAATCTGTCAGGTCTGTGGAGTTAAAATACAGTTCATATAGTCTGGCTTCCTAGATAAAGTGTACTTTAGTGTTCTGACTTTCTCAAATAACTGTTTTCAGGAGGGCAATCCTGGCTGTGTTTGTACTTTGAGTACCAGAGTCTGCGTCTCTGAAGCGGTAGGTTGCACCATGAGGTCATTTCACTGGATTCATAAACTTGGACTGTTTCTCTACTTTTGTAGATGTTTCTATAGACATGCCAGATTTCCTAGATATCAACCACCTTCGGGCCAGGGGTCTCCAGCCCGGAGAAGAGGAACTTCCAGACATTGCTCCTCCCATTATCATTCCTGATGACCCAAAAGGTATTTACTGACTTTCTCTCTTCTTATTCTCTCCTATAGTCCTCTTTGCCTCTAGCACATACTGATTCTCTTTAATCTTCATCTTTTGGAGCTAGGAACAATAAAGCAGCCCTTGTGCTTTTATAATTGAAGACTCTTACAACACCCCACAGCTTTTTGTTTTCCTCTCTACTAGACAACTCTAGATCCTTCCAGCTTTTCTGCTTGGATGTTTTCAGGATTTATGATTGTTGCTGTTGTTCTGGACTATCTCAAAATAATTCGCTCATAGATGGATGCTCTATTTTGTGAAATAGATTATTTCACTTACTTTACTGGTTATAGTCTTGTATACCCTGCTGTGTGGTGGTTGCCTCTTTTGCCGTAGTGTAGTGCTGCTCAGTGGAGCGATCTCTTCATCTGTACTAGCAGAATTGTTTCATGTCTTCCATATGCATGGGTAATCATCCTTAGTTAAGAATAAAGTCCTTGTGCTCATCTTCACTGAATGTTCATTGATATGTAAGACTTAAAGGAATAGAGGAGTGTGTGAACACCTCTAGACTTGTGAAAATCAGCTAAATGTAGGGAACATCTTCTGACCATTCATTGACCTTCAGTGCATGTTCGTCACTCCCTTTCAGTAAAGTCACTGTGCACTTCCCAGGGCTTGGTGTGAAGGACTTGGTCTCAGACCAATAAGCTGAGTCTCATGACAGGTGTTGTAAGTGGGGTGGCGTGTTAATCCACTCATTTCTTACATTTTCATAAAAAGAGGTGTTACTAAACTGCTGTTACCTTCTAAGTACTTTTGTACTAACTTTTGTCTGAAACCTGGTGATAAAGTGGGACTGTAGCTAAATCAATCTGTCAGTTCTTGTGTGTACAGTGAATGGTCCACCCTAATTGGAAGGAATTTTAAAATCTGTCAGTTACTATGATTATTCGCTGTAGGATTTTAGTGTTGTGGTTCTGAGAAGATGGTTTTCTGTTTAGTCATATGGCTTACTTTAATAACTTGAAACACTTTGGTTCAAGGTGAAACAACAAACACGCCATGTCTGCAGAATAGATTCATTCACAGTACAGTGATACTTAAACCACAAAGGACTACAGTTTAAGAAAACCTCTTTACAGGGATAGATTAAGACTCAAAATCTTACTAATTTTTAAATTTCAAGATTTGTTAGGTTGCAGCAGACCCTAGCAGCTGTGCAGGCATGCATAGTCCACTTCTCCGGATGTATGTGGGCTGTACAGGCCATTAAAAGGGGCTCTGTCTCAAGCAGCTGATGTCAAATTGCTGACTAAAATATCTGTAGAGCAGAAAGAGTGTGATTAACATGCTATGCTGCTTTTTTTTTTTTTTTCTTTTAGTACTGTTTCTTTCTCCCTGATATTCAGAAACAAGAATATTAGACTATCCCCCTTCCTCATTCCCTGGCTTTCTCTGGAGGATTAAATGGTTTATAGCAAGTAAAATCTTGGTTTTATAGTGTGACCTTAGACCCAGGTTGCTGCAATTTCCTCCAGATGTCTTAAGCTTGGGTGCTTCGGTATTTAATAGGAAACCAGTAATGCAACTATTCCCATGACATGACTGCCCCATTTGCTTGGATATTTGTACTAGTGGTGGTATAATATCAAGCTGTACATACGTGAAAGGAAGCTTGTACTTGAAATTGTGTGTCAGAGCAAAGGCTATGGAAAAATTGAGTTCTCAAGTTTTTGATTTTGTCCCTTATCTGTAGGATCCTTATCAAGGCTTACTTTTTTTTTTATCCTCTTGCTCAGTGGGCTAACCTAAATTTAGTGTAAATGTATGGGTGATCTACCTGGTTTTTAACAAAACAGATTCTTGCTTAAAATTGGTTTAGGTCAGCCATCAGCTATATTTCTTACCAGTTTATAATACCAGTGACACTTCGCTCTGAGGTTAGTTAGGGAAATTACTAGGCAGAAAACATCCCTGGTTTAATTCATAGCAAAAACATCAGGGATGTGAGGATGAACATGCCTTGCCTGCGTGAGGCATAGAAACATCATATTTTTCTATGATGTCATATATGACATTTCTATGACGACATTTCTATGACATCATTTCTATGACATCATAGAAAAATATGATGTGAGGCATAGAAAACATCAATTGTTTCTGTGACTTTAAAAACATGGATTTGTTTTTCCCATATGAATCTACTTTGCTTTAATATTAAGTTTTTTCCTGTTTGTTTGTTTGTTTTTTGTGTTTTTTTTATTTCTTTCTTAATTTTCAGGTCACATGATGAACAATGTCATGGAGTGTACGTATCTCATTTTTCTGAGACTGGTACTTAAGTGGCTTAAAAAATTTTCATGCTTTTGCTCAGCTAATGGCTTCTCTGTTCTCATAGAGATGCATGAAGTATTGCCCGGCATGCTGATTTTTGTACCTGTTCAGCATTTACTTCCATGTGTGCAGGATTCTTTAACAGTCTGTAGCAACATCAGCATAGCCAGAATATGAGCTGCCCGTGTCTGCTGCTCGTCAGGGGGATCTTGCAGTTCTCAGGGTCACAGCTGCCTGATCCTGTCTCCCTCTGGACTCTAATCTCAGCTGAAGCTGTCAAGCCCTGACATTCAGAGATGAAGTTCAACTGGAGACTGCTAGATCCAGCAGCTGCTGTTTCTCTGACCTGCAAGATCCTGGCTTTAAGAAAGGTGATTGCTTTGGCTGCCATCTCTTGCTAAGCACAGCACCTAATTTCTTCACCCCTTGAAATCCAGTGGTGAGTGCTTTTAGCAAATAAAGTCCTGTAGGAATTTGTAAATGTTTAAGGATCTAATGTAGATTATGGTGACAAAAGATTACCAGTAAGTCCATAATAAATACTATAAAAAATGTCCGTAACAAATGATTTATACAAGGCTGTTTTCTAATGGGTGTGGGCTTATTGTAGTACTAAAACAAATCCAAGTGATATGTGTTGTGATTTGTGTTGTAATATGTGGCACCATGAATAATAAGAAATACTGTATAATGGATAAAATTAGACTTTTATATTTTAGAAGGTCCTTTCTTTTAGCTCTAGATATTGATGAGTGTTCAGTTATGCAACTGGCAGAGATGGGTTTTCCTTTGGAAGCATGTCGTAAAGCTGTGTACTATACAGGCAACCTGGGTGCTGAAGTTGCTTTCAACTGGATCATTGCACACATGGAAGAACCAGGTTAGTGATTGGAAGGTGTAAGTTAAACTCAACTCTTGATTGTATATTTTGGCAGTCAGTAGAAATTTTATAATGGGTGACAGAGAAACAACAGGCACCTTCCCCACCCCAGGAAACCTGAAGGTGTGAGTGGACTTTCCTAAGATGTTCCTGGGATATGCAGATCTTTACCATTGTGTGGCATCCTCTGCCTAGAAGACAACAAATATAAGCTACACCAGAAGTACTCTCCTGTCCTACTGATCATGTGGGCCAGCTCTCTGTTTTCTGCCCTTTGCTTAGGTCCGTGCTGCTAAGGGGGAAGCTGACTTGTGATCAAGTGTAAGTACAAAGAACCCTGTGGTCCAGATGCTTTTCTTCCATATCGGCCTCCTCTAGCTCAGGCTAGAGCATTCATGATATACTTAGAACCTCGGCTATCTAATGGTGGACAGGGCTGCTAGATGTTCTCCACTTCCTGTGTTTCATCCATGCAAAGTCTGGACTCATGATTCAGTGCTGAGTATATCTGAGCACTTCCTTGCCAGGAAACTCGATTTGGTTGAGTTCACTCTTCACGATGGGCTTTTGTGTTGCTTATGTAAACGGGATGAGTTTCACTGGGGCTTAACTGATGTATTTCAGCTATGGAATCAATTGATTTTACAGCTATATGTATATCATCTGAGTGTCGACTTCGGTGCCATCATTGCTTCCATACTCTGCTACTTTCCTGTAGTTTTTTCACTTCTGTGATGTGCCAAGTTGTTACAGATGGCTCAGTATGAGTTTGTCCAGCTAGATATTTTGTAATATGCATGTTTGTTTTGTTGTTTTTAAGGCTTTCCAGGCATCTAAATCCCAAGTGGTCCAATGAAATAAACTTACGTTGATTTCGGGACTGCTTTTGAGGTCCTATTTGTTGTTTGTTGATTTTCCATTTCAGTGGGGCAAAAGAACAAACTGATGAATGTCTCTTTCTTTGTTCCAGACTTTGCTGAGCCATTGGTCATACCTGCATATGGAGAAGTTGCTTCCAATGGAGCAGCTGCATTTGGAACTGTTGGGCTAGATAACCAACCTCCTGAAGAGATGGTTGCAATTATAATTTCCATGGGCTTCCAAAGGAATCTGGCAATTCAAGCACTGAAGGCAACAGTGAGTTCCAGGAGTTAGTTACTGGTAGCACTTGGATTTCATTTCATGTTATGTGCTTTGTTACATGTGCATGCTCAGATGCCTTTGAAATGTGTATAAAAATCCAGTTAATGGGTGATGCACATAGAACTATTCTGCCAAAGCATGGGATGCCTGACTTGACTGGGTTAGAGTAAGGAAGGTGGTTTGTATTTCACATGAATGTTGAAGTGTGGAGGAGAGTGAGAAAAACTCAGCTTCTTTTACCATCTTTTGAGAAACAACCTGGATGCCTGGACTGTGCATCTTCAAGATGAGAACCTGGGGGTCACAGGGATTAGTTGTGGGAGGATTTCTTCTCCATCTGTCAAGCTTCTGCAGAGTGACTGTTGAATACTGTATTCAAGAAAGTAGAGTATGTATCTTACAAATTGTACATGCTATTGAACATGAACCTTCCTCTCTTCAAAGAACAATTAGCAGTAGCATGATGCTAGAGATTTTATTAAAGGCTGCTCTTTTGCTTGTTAATTCACAGAACAATAATTTGGAGCGTGGACTGGAATGGATCTTCAGCCACCCTGAACTCGAGGAAGAAAGTGAGCCTGCTTTGGACATGATGGATATGGACAACAATGCTAATGCCATTATTGCAGAGGCGGGGTCGGAGGGACCCACGGTCAAAGATGGGTCTGGAAGTAAGTTGTTCTTCAGTGTAGAACTGGCTATCATGTTGTTGTGTCAAACCTATGCCATTCATAGAGCTCCTTTCTGTTTTGAAAGTAGTTATTGTGGGGTTTTTGGATGCGATCCAGGCAATTTACTTCAATCTTGCTTGTAGGTCTGAGTCCAGCTCTGTGGCGCTGCAAGATTCTGTGGGTTGCATTTGCTCAGAAAACTCCCTGGACTCACTGAATAACCTGAGTCAAAGTTTCTTGTTGCCACAGCATATAAGTCTCTGTTGGCCTAGCTTTATTTTTTGTTTTATTGCTCTAAGATAAAAAGACAAAATAAAACTAGGTTGTTTAAATCCTCAGAAGCTGAGCACCCTAAAGATAATATTGCTGTTACAGTTCACCTGAGTTTTTGTCCTCTTGTGGTCTGATGGGAGATTTGATAATTCCTTCAGCAAAGTTCCTTAATCTAAATACAGCAGGTATAGTTGGTATCCTGCATGTACTGTTCAGCTATTTTCTTTTGTTTCTTTTTGTTTGGTTTTGTTTGTTTTTCTTTGAGATTCTCAGTCATACAACTACTGAATAAACCACAAGATGGGGCTAATGTATGGCAAAGTTGTGAAGTAGGTAAAGAGCCTCTTTTAAGTGTAAAAGCATTAGAGTATCAAAGCTCAGTGATGGTTCTAAAATAAGTATATCGCATGATGATTTTTGAAGTGTTTTAGTGACCAGTTCAAGCAACAGAGCATGCTCTAAACTTGTACCTCTGACCTTGATTGCAATGGTCTTACAAGGAAAAAAAAAAAATTAACAGCCAATTTGAGTTTTATTTCTGTGGTTGCTGTTCTTATACAAGAATATTTATTTCTTTGGTCTTTATAACATTAAAAACAATCTTAAGTCTCTTGGAGACATTGGAAACATTGATTATCATAAGGTTAAAAAAAAGATATGGAATAATAATTTTTTGTGGTACTTAGCCTTTATAGACTGAGACCATTTACTGAGTGCCTGAAATCGTGATAACCAACATGATACTGTAAAATGGCTCCAGAAAGCCCTCTCCACCAAAATCCAGGCCCTTGTCCTTATGCAATATCCTGAAAGAAGGTACCCTTTTACTTTTGGTGGTAATTTGGGTGAATGGCATGAATGGGTGGGGAGAAAGAACCAATGTTGAGCTCTCCAGAGACATTAACCACAAAATTTTTCTTCACGTAAAAGGAAGAGGGGTCTGTGATCACACTTGCAGATGTAGCTAATTTGTGTGCAGAGTGAATGCCGTACCTGGCGCTTTCTGTGGTGCTCTCTGTGAACTGGAAATAAATCTGCTGTTTTCTTTCCTAGTAGGGACTGTGATCACAGCCCTGCTGTATATGCACAGATCTATGTGGGTTTGATTTGAATTGTTTTGATTTTTGACAGTGAAACTGGCTGCTAGTTAAAGCGAGAATATGCTGCAGTCTTAACAGAAACTGTGTTTGGGGATGCAGTATCTAAGTTAGGAGTGCTTAGCTGTTTCTCCAGTGTTAGAAAGAAAGCTTCCCCTCGAGTTATATTGTAACTTTAGTAATAAGAGATTTATGGTCCCATTTGTATTTCTTAAACAGGATACGAGCTGTTTGGGTTCATCAGCCACATGGGAACATCCACAATGAGTGGCCACTATGTTTGTCATCTCAAAAAAGAAGGAAGGTGAGTGGAATTGGGAGAGACACAAAAGGATGAACAAATGTTTTCGTTGAAGCGTACATCTCTACAGAGCAGGGTGGCAGGCAAACATTAATGTTGTTACCAGGTATACATTTCCCACCAAAGAAATGGATATTGTTACAGATTGTAGGTGTGATGAGTCAGTTGTGATACTGCCGAGGTCTGTGCTGAAATGTACCATCAACTCTACTGTACTTGCTGTTCCAAATCTGTTCATTTTGGGGCCTCAGTTCTGTATCTGGCTTCATTGATCTGAGCTTCCCCCAGCTTCTTTTCATTCCCCATCAGTAGAAACCCATCAAACTATGGGCTAATATTAATACTGCTAGTACTGCAATACTGATCTTGGCTGTGAATTTTATATGCTGCTATTACTTGGCATTGGGAATATCTGATTTTCCTTCACTTGAACTGCAACTACACATTCCTCTGTATGTCTGTCATCCTTTCCAGTTCCTGACTATGCCAGTAATCCAACTTTGGCTATTTCTCTGATCTTTTGTTCTTATGGCAGTACCTAATTTTAGATTTTAAGCTCTTGCAGTCTGGGTCAGAGAAGTTCCTGATAAATTGTGATGATTTTTATACACATGGAATGTAATCAATCTTGTTTCCCTTTCAGATGGGTGATCTACAATGACCTTAGAGTCTGTGCCTCAGAACGACCTCCCAAAGACCTGGGATACATTTATTTTTACCACAGGATACCAAGTTAGGCCTGAAATCTCTTACTTGGCCTTAAAAAGCCGTAAGCCTTTTTAACCAGCCCCAAGCCCCATACAATAAAAAAGAAAATCTAAACCCCACAGAGCACCCCTAGCCCTTGAACTGCCAAAAAGCAAAGGACATCATGGGATATTTAGTTTATTTAAAAAGTCATTTGATGCTGCCTTAAGTGTTAGATGGCAAATTTCTATTAGGTGATGTACATTGTTTTAATTTTGTACATGTTAAAGGATACCTTAAGACCATGCAGATTAGTGGTGGAGTTTGCAGCTAGTATACGGAGAAAACAGAAGTTTCAGGGTTGAACAAAAATAGCCCATCAACTGGGGTTCAGCCCAGCTCCTGCCTGTTCTGACCATGCATCTGTTGAAGACCACAAAGAAATACTTGCACCTTTGGTAAGTGGGAACCAGTGTTTTCAACCAGAGTCAAGACCACTTAGATAAATCATGTCGCGTATAGAAATGGAGTGGGTATGTGAGTGTAATTCAGAATAGAATGTTTTATTTGAGATTATTTTTGATGTAGTGAGAAAATTCCAACAGATACAACTAGAGTCATATCTGTTGTAACCCAGCTTTATATTATTTTGGTTTGCCTTTTTGATGCATAAACCTAAGAAATAAATGGAGATGGAAGCAATCTCCTGCCAGCGCCCTGCACATTTTCTTAGAAAGAGAAATGATAGATTTTACTTTTGCAGATGCAGGTTTCTTCATCTTCTCTTGAATGTTTCTTTTGCAAGTTCTTCCAACAGATTCAGGATTACAGATGGCTAAAGGAAGCAGACTTTCTGACTATAAAATTAAATTCATACCCTTAGGAAAGCTAAGGGTGTTATTTAAATTTTATCTTCTTATGAAGGAGGTAAAGGAGGTGTTAATGTCCCATTATATTTATTTCAGGGAAATTTTCATCTTGACCACTCACATTCCATCTGAAATCAACTTGACAAAGCACTCACAGTGCAATTCTGCTTTCTGCCAAAGATTGCTTAAATACTTAGTTCCATCCATGAGTGGGGGAAATGGCTTAGTAAGATTGCTCATTTATTGATTTGCCTCTCTCTCCTTCCTCCCTTAGAAAATCCCAAACCATCAAAACCAAAACCAAACAACAAAAAAATCTCACCTTGAAGTGTTTCAGCTTTAAGACTTGCAAACACACCAATAATCTGATCTCTTTAACAGACACATTCTGAAGGGGTTTTTATATTTTTGGCAGGTATAAAGGTAAGGGCTGGCTTTTCCTGCCTTTCTTGTGAGAGGGGGAGTAGTGGTGTTATTTCAGTTTGTGTCACAGGTGCAGGCAAGAATATGTATGTGGGGTTTTAAACTGTTTGAGAATACTAGTTCTAGAAAAAGTAAATGGTGAGTGTGAAACCTTTAATGATTCCAAAAAACCCTCAAATGTTCACGGTGTTGGCCACTGCTTAGAGGCTGTTGCTGAAGTTGCTTCATATAATCTTACTGAGCCCTGAAAATAAATTGAAACAGTCAAAAATGAAATAAAAAATAAAATTCTCCTTACAGAGTTCAAGAGAAGCAGGGAGGTATAATTACATTTTCTTTTCAGTTAGTGCCTGCAAGTTTAATAGCAAAATTCAGGCAGCTACATGCTACAGAAGAGAATCCAAATTAAAAGTGATGTTATGAGTAGGGCATTTTATTTTTTCCAGTATAGTTTTTCCTGTAGTCATATAGCCTAATGCAGAGCCAAACCCCACTGCTGGGTGGGTGTTTTTTGTTTTTTGTTTTTTTTTTAATCAGTTTGTGATCTTACAAGATTATGAGAGAAATTCTAGTGCAGTAATTCTGTAGAGTCTAAATGGTGCCAAACTGCTGGGAAAGCTTCCTGCACTTTGTGCTCTTATTGACACAGAAGAGTGACATCCCAGCACATTAATAAGTGGCTTCTCAGATTCAGCTGCCTTGTCATTATTGAGCCACCAGTTCTGGACAAAAAAAAAAACGCTGTCAGTAATTTTTTTGCTTCTTCCGGGTTTTAAATATTTGTGTATTTCACCAGAAAGGGACAGATTTGAAAATGAGATCACGAATTTATTCAGTGATGCACCATCTATTTAAAGTGAAAGAATAAAACTTCCATGTATGTTTGTGCTCTTTCATTTTGGCAGTAGGAAAAGGACAAAAGGCTTCTACCCCTTTGCTTCTATTTTTATTTTTATTAATTTTTTTTTTCAATGCCCAGTTACATTCTGAGGAAGCTCAACAGCAGCTTCCCTCTCACCTCATGAACTTAAAGGGCTGTTTTATAAACTAAACAGATCTGGTGGCCACTACATTTTTAGTTAGAAGCATTGGGTAAATGAAGGTCAACAGAGTAGTTCCTATGTTTGTTACTAAACTGGAAACGTGGCTGGTCTCGTGGGGTTAAGGATGGAGTTTGGACGCTTGCAAACCATTTGTCTGGTACGTCCTGAAACTGGGGTGCTGTGGTTAATGGGAGGCACACTTAGGAAGCTGGCACATGAAAAAGGGGAGAGCTGTTCACTGGTTGTGATAGGTGAACCGTAGCAGCTAAGCTTCTGAAATTCCTTGCAGTTCATCACTCTTGCATACTGCCTGCCTACCAGTGGGTCAGAAATGCAGGGAGCAGCTTAGAGGAGAGGCTTATGGGTTGTCTAAAATACAGCACTTGAAAAATACGTTAAAACTTCTTCAGCTATTTAAGGAATTATTTTATTATCTCCCAGGGTGGCTTCCCTCCTTTTTCAAATGGCCAGTTAAGAACATGCCATTTTGTAATGGGCTGTGTGTGAACATCATGAATCTGGAGGAGCAGGGTATGAACTCCTGACTTTTTAGACTAATGTGGGGAGAGGGGTTTTCTTTTGTTTTAAACTTCAGCATGCAGAAGCTGCACTCAGACTGTACTGAATAGTTGACTGATTTATCTGGCTTTGCCTGCTAAAATTTGTATGCACTCAATGGTGTTGGGCCAGGCCTTGATGCACAACCTGGGCAGTGGCTGGTGGGGAAACTGTGTGTCTAGGTACTAAAATAGGGGTTAGGTGTGCTGAGAGCTCCTTGACAAAAAGGGTGGAGGAAGAAAAATCACTGTGAGCTGTTTGAGACAATCTAACATGAGAATTATGGCAAGCCAGGACTTCACAGCAAATAGTAATGTTTTTCTTTTTCAGACTGATTTTTACTTTTTCACATGATACATTTAGATTAGGGTGGAAGGAGGAAGAATTCAACAACTTTTCCTTGTTTTCCTTTTCTCTTCTTATTCCTAGCAGTGTGCTGGATCCAGTAGACCTCTCATTCTGAGTCTCAATCTTCAGTCTCCAAAACATGTGTAGACTATAAGTCCTATTTAATCTGCCTAGCTAAATTGTAATTAAGATAAAAAAATATTCAAAGCTGTAGTTTAAAAACAAGTCTAGGTGTTTCTTGACTGCTGTCACTTGTAATTGTTGTGGGTTCAGTGGCATTACTTCTGACTCTGGTTTAACAGAAACCAGCAACCGTCCATTTATTTATTTATTTATTTCATTCGGGCAGCCTCCCCTGGGTCATAGCACACATTCTGAATGCAGATGCAACCAGAGCTTGTTAGATTGTTTTAGAAGCATCTCCAATTCATTCCTTTTGTTCTCCATCCTGGCAGCAGCCATTTTTATCTTCTTCATTTTCATGCATTGAATGACTATGCAAAATGTGTAACTGGACATAACTTTTTATTCTTTTTCCCATCACCCTTCCTACCTTAATGGCTGAGGTCAGTTTCTGATTTCTGTTCATTTTGGTGGTTTTACTGTTGTATCCTGGAAGTGTCTGTACCGGTTTACTTTGCACCATTCAGAGTTGTTTGCTTGAAGCACTGTTAACATTTTGGAGAGTATTTGTCTGTGATGAGAAAGGTTGTGAATGACATTGTTGCTAATGTTTTAAATTAAAAAATATTCTTGCATCTTGTGTCTGTGTGGATTCTTGCTTCTGTCTTTCCTGTCTGAAGAGGAATACATTGAATATGTTTTAATGTTGCCTCTTTTTTTACTCTTTGTGCTCATGTTTGGTGTTTTATTTAAAAAAAACTGTATAGGGAACAAAGAGGTTTGTAACAGTCTTGATTTCTTGTGACTCATGGCACTTGTGTGGATTGGAGGGGGTAGGGGGAAATCCCACGAAAAAAAAAACCCAAGCCCTGAGTGGCTATAAAACTTGGCAAAGATAGAAACAAGCATTTAAGGTAAGATCTGGAGTTTTTTGCTTTTAACTTTTAAGCCGGCTGATATTCTTTGAACACAAGAGTTGGCAAGATGTGGAAGACTGTTGTTATTTCACTCCAAAATTCCTGCTTTATCTTGGTCTGTGATTCCTGATACTCATTTAGAAATTTCACCTGCTGCTCAGTAAAGGAGAAGCCTTTTTTTCCTGATGTTTAAGGGCTTTACATAGCAGTGTGACCATTGAGATTCTTTGGTAGATGCAAGAATTGGCCAAGAAGGAAGACTGCGAGATGGCAACCCTTTCATCTTTTTATAGGATCATGGGACCAGGAACTGGAGGAGAGGTGAGAGGTAAACCTATTGGAATACAGGTGACATAGAGGACATGTGAAATATTGAATGATGAGAAGGGTAAAGATGGTTGAGCTCCTGAAGGCCAAATTTAATGACCTGTTTTGGTTTCTCTTCTATCACAGGTGACCTTTGTGACCATGTCAAGTCACGCTGTGCTGTGTTCACACCACTAGTAGCAACTGGAAGATGTGTAAAAATGTGTCTCCTTGTGCAAGCTAACGGTCTCTGCTCAGACTTTGTGCAAGAATTTCCTGCACAGGATTTGTACCTGTTAACTTTTGCAGACTGCTTGTGGAAAGAAGTATTAGATAACCGGCAAGTTTAACACCACCCCTGGTTTCTGCTCCCCCTCACTAAAGTGGGAAGTAACACCTCTCTGTCCTGCAGGTGTGCTACAAGCCTAAAAAGAATGAGAGGCACTGAAAACTGTCATGAAAGATGAATGCTATAAAAATATTGAAGACAGTGCATGACTGGTGTGGGGCAGGTGATTCTATTTTCAGACTTCTTCACCAGAAACTTTCCCAGTGATTTTTTTGAGCAGTTTTGTATGTAGGATTTAGTACTAATGCTTTTCTCCCAGCCGCTGTCTTTGGCTTCCTTCCTGCTCTGTGTTTGCTACAGAACATGTAACTTAATGGGCATTACTGCTACTTGTTAGCACATGCAAGCAGCAAAAACTAAACCAACAAAATCTCTGGCAAAACATGAGTGTCAAGAGCACCTGTACTTGCATCGTGAGGGCCAGTGTGGTTTTAGTGTTGGTTCCCTTTTTTATTTTTCTGGAAGGTTCTGCTTAAAGCCATTAACTTTAACTTTCCTGACAGAACTTTATTTCTACAGGCTAATCCTGGCTGGCTTTCATGGAGTTTTTGTTATTGTCTGTTTGCTTGTGGTTGGTTTGTTTTTCTGGAGCATCACACAGGTCCCTTGAGGGAGTCAGCCTTCAGATCCATGCCAGTGTTGTCCTGATTTGCCAACAGCCCCCTGCTGTAACTGTCACAGCCCCCTTTCTGGTTGTCATCTTTTCTGTCCACAGTGGTGTACAGGAGTTTTATGTCCTTCTCATGTTTGTGCTCATGTTAGTATCCCATAGCAAAAATATAAAGATGATGTAATTTCTACTCTGTCAGTTTCATCACATGAAAGCCAAAACTGAAAAACAGCCAACTCCTGCTGTGATCTATGGGAAGTTGCTTGAGTAATAATTTCAATCATTGAAAGTTTGTGGGGTTTTGTACTTTTTTCTGTTTTGTTTCATATGAAGTGTATGTGCAAAATCCTTTGGGCCAGACCTCAACTGGTATAAATCCCAATTGTAAGTATAATTATCAACATGTGGCAATAAAAATAAATTAGAAAAACAACTCTACCTCAGAGTAATGATGAATTTTTGAAAAATGGTGATAAATAAAAGCATCCTCTGGACCCTTAATTTTTAAGCAGAGAAGCATGCTCATGTCGTAAACAATGGGATAGAACACCTCATTACAAATAACTCTTTATTCCAATTGGAGAAGTAGATCCCTCCTTTCAGTTCAAGTATTTATAGTCAAGACTGTTTTCAAATTGAAAAGATATTTTGAAATATTTGAAGCCACAGACAAAGTTTATTATTAAACCATATTTAAAAATTGCACAGTTATAAATACAGGTAAATAAATACAATTTAATATGTGGAAAAGAACCCAAGGAAGGCATGCCTCCATTATAGTACAAAAATACTACATTAAACGTGGCGCTCTGCAAATAGTCATCTATGACCTTAATAAATGTAACACATCCAATATGCGCATCGTTCCTTTTTGAGGAAATAATCTTATTTTAAACAGCAGTGCAAGAAAATGTCAAATTAAAGCATCAGTAAACTACAGGTCTGTGTTTAATATTATGCACACCTGATAATGCACTAAGTATATAGAGGCAAAGTTACCTGTAGTAAGAAACTAATCTTTTACTCCATATGTGCTTACACTCAGATTCTCAGTCTGGGTCAATATGAACCTTGGTAACAGAATGTAAACATTCAGGGGTAGGGCTGAACTCCCACCTCTGCATCCACTGCCCACTTCATTGCTAAGCCGTACACTTAACCATCCACACAAAAAGTTAAGTGAGCAATGTAAGTCTTTGCAGCAGCAGGGCTCTCAGATGGCCCAGGTGAAAGTATCTGCCAACCCTATAATCTCTTCTTTCCTGTATGTTGGCTTAAAAATAAAGCCAAAAAACTGATGCAAGATCGCCAAGATTTTCAAACAGTTTACAGCATAAAGAAGAAGCTGCACAGAATGCCTCTCAAAACTAGTTTTCTTCTGCTCTAGATACATTATATCCAGATATATAAAATATACTTACAAATGCTTTTGATTTTTCTGAGTTTACAGTAGATTACTGATTTTAAAAAAGCTATTTAAATTAAAGTCTTATCAATGTCAATGACATTCTGTAAATGTGGAAGGGGAATAAAGATCAAAGCACATTAAGTCTTGACCATGCAAGCTTGCTCAATGGGCTGTCACTTGTGCAAGCATTCATAAAGTTAAGGTTTATTTTAGGAAAACTAGATTCCTTCAGTCTCTCTCACATGTCTAGTACTTTTTATTTTGTAGGCTGAGGCTCTGAACCTTTCTGTGGATTCTGCGACATGCTTGTTTTCATTTTGCCTAGCTTTGTTCAAAGTGTCAGTGGTCTCTTCATGCATGGCATTTGTTTTCTCTCATTTATTTCACCAGTCCAAAACCAGTAGAACTATAATGAAGGAATCTGTTTTCTAGCCTACATAAGGTTTGACTAGTAGGTAGTACTGTATTGCATACCACTTTTTTATTTTTCACAACATGCAGTGCATTTTGTCTATCACTTATCTGTGAATACTCGGTATTTTATAAGCATTTATTACATAAATGCACTGTACAGACTGCTAGGATGACAACACTGGTGACCAGAAATGCATTTTTCAACTGCGCAGGTTATTCATGAGAAGTAACTAACACATCTCATTTTGCAGATGCAATTTGGGCAAAGGAGATGTAAAACCAATTTATGTTTCACTTCAGTTCTCACTGGCTCCAGCAGGCAGTGATGTAGGCTTCAGGCTTTGCCTCTATGGCCACCAGTCATTTCATTGGTTATTATTTCTGTTGTGGTGGCTTTTGTGTTATGGAGGCCTGTGCTCTATGGATGTTCCTAGAATCACCTGGCTGATCTGCTGGTGTTGTAAGGGTCCTCCTTTTCACCTGACAGACAGGTCCAAGTTCTCTAAATCGGCTCATTAGCTCTTCATGTGTAACTTCATGTCCTGAGCTTTCAGCTGAATTCAGTGGCTGCAGCAGATACTCAGATCCTCTGAAATTTTATGCGTATATACTTCAAAGAGAACAGTTGGACACTGAGCTGCTTTCAGAGCTAGTGGGCAACTTTGACAAGCCTGGCCATGGTAAGTAAGTGTGGACTGAGACAATAGTTGTTTCACTGATTCTGGGAATCTTTTTCTGTTGTTTGGAGAAGAAAATGTGAAAGTCTAAACACATGCTTCACAGTGAAAGCTGCACACATTTAGCTTTTTAATCCTTAAGAGGATACTAAAACGTGTCTGCCAAAGCTATTACTACGTGTCTGTTATTAAATAAACACTTGAAGCAAACATGAAATGCACAACACAAAGTGATTTCTAAGGATGGGATTTAAAAAGGGCTCTGCATTTGGTCTAATCTGTTCCAAGTAACATGAACAACTCAGTTTTGAGTATGGCAGATGCAAAGTACTTTTAAAATATCCCATAGAAGATACCAATCAATAGTTTAAAATATCCTATGAGTTGGCCTTCTGCATGCATTCTGTAAACATGTATTCAAGTATTATTATTGCATGCTTCATGTTAATATTTCAGTGTGGTTATTATGTAATTGCATGCAATATTCTCATATGAGGTTTTGTCATTGGAACCTCCCCCTCTATTTTTACAAGTGCCGTGTTTCATCACAAGAAAATACTATTTGATACAGATATGTGTATGTGTTTACCTGAAGATCAGATCAATTCTTGAAACTGACATAAACCACTATATTGCAGCAATAGACATTGTAGTTTAGAAGACAGGCAAGAAATGAGCCTATTACTTTAATTGGAAAGGCGCATTCCTAAATAATCTCTTTGATTTCAGTACCTGTTTAGCATGTGCAGTGGTATCAGAGGCCAGCCCTTGTCCGGTCACTGAATATGGGCACATGAACTGATCATGCCAAGTGTGAAGGACTCCTGTGAAGACTACAGACTCACTGTTCAGCAGCTTGATGGATCAGACTTACAGGTCATAAATACTCTTAAAGCTTTGCAGAGGAGAGGGCCATTCACAAGCTGGGGTTGGGAAAACAATATGTGTGAAATATAAAATAGAAGACTCAAAAACACTTGTAATCAATTACCTGGCAGTGATAAATCACCTCTAGAGAAAGAGGGGAGTAACAGGAAAGGGAAACAGGGGTGAGAGATGATGATAAACCATTGTAACGTTAATTTGTCATCATCGTATAGATGCTGTGCAGTTATCTTGAAATGTCTCCGAGTCTCTTCTTTGCTCAAATTGCTAGTCTCTTGTGTAAACTTAGTTTGTTTTCTTATGTAGATCTGAGCAACGTTGTGTTCATATGCTGCCTCTCAATTTACTTGAGTGGTGACCTGACCCATGTGGTCTGTGGGACAGCGGCACTCCACTGCTCTTTGGTAGTGCCATCACAGGCAGTGGCTGTTAATTGCCTGTCTTCCTTCCTTGCACACCTGAGCAAGTCAGAGATGGCAGGAGGTTTTGACTTGGTTTAGCTCACAGGCAGGACTGAGAACAAGGCCTAGATTTACCATGTCACTCTCAGGTTCAATCTGCTACTATTCAGCAGCTGCCTTGTTTATCCTGTCTCATGCTTGATTAGAAGTTTGAGTAGATGAATTTTCTCTTCAGGTTAAAATGCTGCAGCCTCCTCACATGATTTCTCTTGTTGTTTCAGCCAAATATACATGCTTGCTGCTGAATATTTGAGAAACCCTGTGAGGAAGTCAGATCAAAGCTGCATCTAATCATGTCTTCTGCACTGACTGTGCTTGGCAGTGGAGGCTAAAGGAGGACAATAAAGCTCAGGGTATTGAAGAAGTCTCCAGAAGTACCAAGAGCTGCTGAGCCTGAGCTGTTAGGGTGAGGTGAGCTCGGTCACTGGCCACTCGCCAACACAGACCAGGCCAGAACTGGTGTCTAGTGTAAGGGGGTGTGCCACTGTCCTCTATCTGCTTTAGTCTTTCCCTCATGCAGTGTCTCGGTCAGTGGTACAGGGTTAATTGGAGCAAATATGCTAACCTCCAAGAGCGTGCACAATCTCTTTGGATAGGCTTTGTAGCCTGTGTCCAGTATAGCAGGATTGCAGTGCTTGTGATGAACTGGGGGCCTGAGTATCCCCATGGGAGGCAGAGTTCAGCCCTTTGATTTGTCTCTAGGTTTACACAGACAACTTTTCTCACACCAGTCACGTGGGTGTGGACATGTATCAGCAGATGGATACAGTTTTGAGCAGTGCATTTCAGGATATATCAGAAATTGCCTACTTGGTCTGTTCCTTTCTGGGGACATTAGGATTTGCATTAGGTTTTCCTAACAGAATTGCTGTGTTACTCACGTACATCATAGAGAAGACGTTTAGTGAACTGATAATCAGTATCAAATGCCCTTTGTCATTCTGACTGAGAAGTCAAGCAGTTAAGTTTTGTTTTATTTGAAAGGTATAAAAATAAAGCTCTTGAGCAGCCAGTTCCTTTGGATAAGTACTGATTATCCTACACCACAGCACAAAGGATGTTCTGGAAGAATTTGTGTGATGGCAGGGCATCAAGCAAAATGTAAGCATATTGCTTTTGCCTTACTGCCTCTTCCCAAAGATGCCTCCCTTCTTTCTTACCACTTTCCAGATTCAGTTGCATTACACCTTCTGCTCTGCCTTATCACACATCACTATCAAAGCAAAGGCGCAAACTGTTATCAGAAGATATGCATACAGCAGCCCATTTAGCTAAAACAACACCCCCAGTCAGTCCTTGATAACAAATCCGTAGAGAAAGTTGCAGGAATGAGTTATGAAACGCTTGATAGCTAAATAGGAATACATGTGTAAGGAGCGAATTAATAAAGCACTACTAAAAAATTCCAGTAGCAGTTTCAGCATCTGTATTCTGTGGGAGAGAGTGTGAGGTAAGCCTTTTATTTTTTAATGAAAATTGATTATTTTTATTTAACAAGCTATAGTTGGTGATTAGATGCAGTGATTACACTGTCTTACCTGGAATTTTCCTTTAAGTGGTTGCTCAAAATAACAGACAGCTGCAAGAAACATTAGGTTTGTACTGTTGAAACTGTCCTGATTCCCACAGAGCTTCTTTCTCTGTGATCTTTGAGCTGGATTTTTCTTCTAATGTTGTTTGTAGGAAATGTGCTATTTGTCCCACTTTAACACATTTCAGTACCTACTTTGCACATTGAATTTCTGACCACAGAGCAACATAGTAGCCATTTGATTCGGCTTTTTATCTTTCACTGTATAGGAAAAAACCTGAAAATTATTACCTTAAAAATTTCTATTTCTGTCTTTGATTGACACATTCACCTTGAGCTAAATGTGTTTGATTGTAGCTGAATTAATCCCTTCATCATGTAATGCCCCAATACTGTTCCCCATTCATCCAGTCAGGGAAAATTATAGATGATGTGTATATATATATATGTGTATATATATATATGTACACACACACATTTTTAGGCAGCTACGAATACTGATGTTATCGAAGGATTTAGTCTGCTATCATGGAGACCACTGAGTCCTTTGCTACTACTTGCTATAATAGCAGGATCAAACCTTAGTCCTACAAGCATACAGACCAACTTTTTCAGGGAAAATTTTCCCTTGAGCATGGTCTGCAGTCCTATGAAGATTCTTCTTTATTTGCAATAAAGATCTGTGGCTTAATATGTTCTGAAATGTCATCGTTCACCTACAACATGTATGTGCATGCATGTATGTGTGCAGTACCTGATGATAATAGAATGATCTTTCTAATGGATATTGCAGTTTATACTGTATTTGCATTTTTTAAACGGAAGAATATTGAAAACCTTCTCATCACATTTCAGGAAATTATATTTGGTCCTCTATGCCAACAAGGCTATCCTGTACATTCTGTTGTTAGTAACTAAAAGCGTAGCGCTATCTTACAAAAAGAAAAATTAAAGTGCATAAGTACATAGTTGCAGATCCTGCTATGAACCCCTTTGAAGCAGACGTGCTCTGTGCAAGATCAGGGATAGCTGGTTTGAACAGCAACAATTCTAGTGCAAATTACTGCTTCTGCTGGCAGCACTTGGCCTTCCCATATGTACATGGCCTAATCCCATAGACTTCCATGTATGATGTTTCTCTTAATGTTGCACATGGTTTGCAACTCAATGAGCCTGCAGGATTGGGCCCAAATTAATCGAAGTTACATTTGGAAGCAAAAATTTTCTTGATTGCCAGCTAATAAATATATTCAACCGAAATACATCAATTTTACATGCATCTGTTCTCAGAGCTATGTTAAAAATGGACCTTGAGAGGACTTTTCAACAAAGAAGCCAAAGGATAGGGAATCCACGTTGTAGGGCAAAGTGATGTCAGCATAGTGCGATGAGCTAGTAAGCAGGTTCCTTGGATGCATTGCTTCCATTCTGCTGTGCAATAATGATTATCTAGCTTTGTTTTCAATATATTTTTCTTTGTATAGCTGTGTATATATTGAGAGAGAGAGAGATCTTGCATGGGATGAAGTTCCTTTAGAAATGGCTACTTCATGTAATTCAGGGCTTTGTCAGATTAGCCACAGCTCATTTCAATCCTTTGAGTTTGAATTTATGTACAATATTTTGTGCTTTTGAACTTTTCCTTTTTAAGTAATGTCCAAGGGAAGTTCCTTACTGATCCACAGCCATGATTTTTTGAAAAATGTGGTCTTGTTGAGATGAGATATAAAAGAGTTCTCTGTTTCCTAATACAATATAATTGATTTGTGGATACCTTTTATTACGGCTCTAGATTAAAAGCTCTTAACAGAATATCTAGATCACCCACATTGGCAGCTTGAAATAGTTCTGGTTGGTCCATCATAGATAGAGCAATTCGAAGTGCTGCCCAAATATTGCCTGATAGAGCAGGATGGGGAACCTGTTGTTGATTTCTGCTCTTTCTTTGTAAACAGAGAGCAGTGAGAAAATTGCTGACAGCCTCTCTGTAGGGAAGAAGACAAAAGAAAGAAGCAATGTAATTTGTTTAATAGCTAGAGTAAAACCTTAGAAAGTTCTACGCTGGACTTCAAGTACATTATTTTACAATGTAGTTCATCAGTCTCTTTGTGTTACTCTTTCTTAGAGTTTCTTTAAACAAATGGATGTGGTGGCTAGTAATACAGAGCCCACTCTATTCATACATCTAGAGATATTGTCTTCACTGCTGTGTAGCTCCCCTTCATCATGTCATCCAGTTTACGCTGACAGTTGGATTAAACACCCTGGAATCATGCTTGATTCCTGAAGACTGAAAGTGTTTTTGACGGGATTAACTACCTGAAGCAGTTTAACTGAAATTTTCTTTGGACAGGCTCTTACATTTTCTTTTAGAAAAGCTCTTAAGCACAGGACTACATTTAAGTGTGGGAACAATCCCATTGTTTATAAAAGGAGTACTTGGACTTAGAGCTAAACAAAATATTTAAGCAGCTTGCTGAATAAGGGATTTATTTTCTTTTAATAGAATCTAGTAGTTCTGTTACGTAGAGTTTGTGGCTATAAGAAAAGTATTATTGATTTGTTAGTACTTTTTAAAAAATAATTACTGATTTTTGCAACAGCTGAGATTACAGAGCTATAATCTGATATTTCTTTTTTAATTAGATAGCTCCAGCTAGAAAATGAATTTTCACATTGTAGTTAAGATGCCTCACTTTTCTGTTTGCACGTTTTTGTAACTTACCTGTATGCCCCTAGGTTGATGCAGCTTATCCCTAAATTGTATCTGGACCTAATGAAGCCAGGTTGAATTTCTAAAGCACGTGTGTAGGCTTCGACAGCTTCTTCACTTCGATCCCCATTTGCCAAGGTTGCTCCAAGACGGTTCCATAATGTATAGTCCTGATGAGAAAATGAGTTTTCTATTGTAGGTGTCAAAAAGGCACATAATAGCTCTTTTTTGCTTCTAAGGTGAGGAGGACTGCAGAAAATAACAGTATCGTGTTTCCTCGTAATTGACACAGAATGTGAGGTTCTGACTCCTCATTATAGGCAACTTTATATAACTAGTACAATCAATCAGAACACAGCTAGAAATTGGACATATATAAATCTGCTTCTAAATGGGACTATCTTGTAATTAACATTTCTATTTCAGATATTAAAATTTTAATGGCTGAAGTGATATCTCATTAATATTACCTGGATCAAGAGTGGAGAAAGAAAATGGCCTGTAAAAGCTGAATTCTTACAAATGTAAAAGCATAAAATGTACCTCTGGTCGAACAGTTAAAGCAGCACTAAATGCATCTATTGCTCTGTTAAATTCTCCATTCAGGTGGAAAAGAACTCCAAGTCCTGTCTGCAAGTCAGGGTCTATCATATCGCCATTCTGGTGAGCAGCCTCCAGATACAAATCCTTTACTTCTTCAAGTAATGAGCTAGATAAGGGTGAAAAATAACAGTATTCAATTTTGCAATTCTTTACAAATATTGCAGTGTTGATTGCATAGCCAAATAAATTTATAAATAAATTTATAAATCCTTATAGTGGGATTTATCAGAAGAGATATAACTTGAAAATAAGCTTCAGCACAGCACAGATTAACTTCCAGGTGCAGGAATAAAAAAGTTCACCTATATAATGAAGTCGTAGTGCAGCTGTGAACCCAAGTGAGATAACATGAAGGCTTATTAAAGTGTTAAAATTAGATGAGTTTCTCAGATGTAATAGAGTTCTTTACTGGCAAAAATAGTAGTCATTAATAGTAGTCATTATAAAGAGGAATAGATCAAGTGACCAGACAAGACCCCAGAAGAAAGATGCCAAAATTTAAGTAAGTCCTCTGTACCCACTGTGGGATTCACAAAACCTTTGCATTGACACCACCAGATGTCAGTGGGATTAAGCCAAAGTAGAATAGCACACATCAATTAAGCAGAACTTTATGTTTTATTTTTGCTTATACTAAATTATCTTGTCAGCCCAGGGCTTGTTAGGATAAGGGCCTGTCTTCAAAATGACAAGCAGTGAGATAGCCCTGGTGATTTAGTTCTATAAATTATGTTTATGCCTGTAATGACTGTATCATGCATCTCGCAATGCAGCAGTACTTATCAATCTCATGAAATCACGATGAAGGGCTGCCAACTCATGATTTTGTTTGTTATTTAAAATGGCTGCCAGCTCCCTTTACAGTGTGCTAGGCTGAAGTCAAATAAAATGACTACACTATCTCTTTGCTTAGATCCAGAATAGCTTTTAAACAGGCAGATGCTACCTCTCAGTGTTTTCAGTGAAATGAAGTCACATCCCACTGAAAAATGGCTGTCATTCCTGGATTCTAGTGGCATGATAGGGGTATAGGAAATATGTTTAACAGTAGGGAGAACACACACACGTAGAGCAGGTTACAGGCCTGGTATGGATTTGGAAACAGCTGAAGAATGAAGATGCAGGATTTGGGAATACAGAGGTAGCAGACAAGGTCAGGAGAAAGTGATGTGAACTGAGTTTTTAGCTTCTTTATTAATGTTTTGGTGGTTCTTTTTGTTGTTTGTTTGTTTGTTTGTTTGTTTAACTTCCACCAATGGTGTAAGATACATCCTTCAGTTGCTAAACCGATTGTCTTATCTTGGTTCCCTACTTCTGCCAGTAGAGATACTGAGTCTTCCATCGTAGGGAACAGGCTGAATGTCTGCAGAGTAAGGGGAAACAGCATCCACCATCATTTCTAGTAATGTTAAAATTTCCACCACTGAGATTTACACTGCGTTTACCTTTCGTCTGATGCCTTAGACATTCTCCTGGTAAGTGCTGGGGACCCTTTTTTGCTTTTAGCTATATGCTTGTATTTTGGATTTTGCTTTATCCAGTTTCTTAGAGCTTGATAGGCTTCTTGTTGATGGCCAGTGTTAGTATAACTTACAGCCAGGGCCATCAGAGCTTTTAGGTTGTTCGGCTGTAGTTCCAAGCACCTAAAAGGCAGAAAATAAAAATACATTGAGGTATTTCTTTTAGCCAAACACAATTCTTGATTTCTTTCAAAATAATCTGTGTCAAAAAAAAAAAAAAGAAAAAAAATCAGACAAGTAAGATCTACCCAATAATATATTTAAAGAATGGACTTTGTCTTATTTTTCTGTGGTAAGTGCATTATGTGTAGGTATATACACACATGTATGCATGCACATTGCTGTGCGTATACACTTAAGTGTATCAAAGTATGCATACAAGTTTTGTTTCCATCCTTCTGGTTATGAGTAAATGTAGGTAGATTCATTTTTATAATACCTGTCTAGTAAATAGAGAAGCTTTATGTAAATTCAAGCGAGTGGATTAAAATAGTTTGCAGCTATATAAAAAAAGTGTTTTGAAGACGAAATTTCTTCCATCCGTATGAATCTTTTCAGTCGTGCTGAATTCCCAGTTTTTCTGGTCTTTCTATGGTTATATACCATTAACCGAAAACAGAATCTCATCTATTTTGTGAACACCGCTCTTGCTTCTTTCAGAATGGTGGGGATGAGCAAGCCTGAAATCAGGCAACCCCTTGGATTTTTACCCAGGCAAGCTAATAAGTTACATATTAATAAGTTAGAGTATCCTTAGGTGAAATGGCTAGATGGTTAGCGTTGCTAATGCAATTGAATATGCAGAGGGAACCCACTATGGAAGGACAATAATAATGCTGATATTTTGGAAATGACATTTTACATACAAGCATACGGTGATCTTTGCATCTCTATCAGCCTAAAAATGTTGTCGGTTTAGTATTCAGCAGCTGAAGTGAGCTCGTTCCAATTAAAAAGCCTTCTTCATTAAAGGACAGACTACACAAAACATTCCAAGTGGCTAGAATATAAAAAGGGTACTTCATTTGCATTAGGCCTAATTCATGTTTATCATGTCATGTAACTTTTCTTTTTGTGCAACTACTTAAATTACTAAATTTAATATTGCACTTATTTAATAAACAAGCAATATTAATCACTAGTCATCCATCTGAAGTCACTGGGAATATTTGTATATCTATGTCAGTGCTTTACTTGGTTAAATAAATACTTCATATTACAAGATAGGTATCATGTTAAATATACGTAGGTCTGTGTTACCTAATACTCATCAGACCCCTTATTTAGCAATTATCTTCATTTACCTTTGGAGGGCGACAATGGCTGCCGGCTCATTTTCATTCTCTGCTTGTGTTACACCCAGGAACTGCCACGCCTGCAAAAATAATCATCATAGTGATATTTTGTTATATATACCCAACTGCAAGCAGAGTTACAACTAATATCATTGTTAAGCAGCAGGGTGAATAAAAATAGCAGATCTGTCCAGCACTAGCTACAGATGTTTCCACAGTGTGCATACCAACATCATAAATCAGTGCAGTTTTGAATATCTTTGGGACTGATAATATTTGTAATGAATGAGTGCAAAGGTATTCTGTCAGTGATCACATGATGATTTCTTAAATTTGAATTGCTGTACTTTTTACATATTGCTAGAATTTTATGGGAAACGAGGAAGAACAATTATGAAGTTGTATACATTTAAGGGATTCAAGAATGTCTGGGGATTCTCTCTGCTTTTCAAAATACTGCTGGTTAATTTAATGAGGTAATAGATTCAACAAGACCTAGATACACTGTAAATATTTTTCATGTTTCAGAGAAAACAGACTTTACATATATATTTTTTGAAAACATCAATATTTCAGATATTAATATAACTTTTAAAGATTTTTCAACATTCTTATTAAATCAAAAATGTTCATCTTTCAATAGCAGTGTTTAAGAGATAGTTTGAAAACCTCAGGGAAAGAAGGAAAGGTTTGAAATATTGTATCTTTTGAATGCTTTTAAATGACAACTTGGAAATGATATCATTTCAAAAATAGATTCTCATCTTTTGAAGAGCTCACCTTTCAAGGCATATACTATTTCAAAACCACTGTTAGCATTCAGCCTGTTTCAGTCAGTCATGACCCGCAAAGGTTTGGGCCCTGAAATCTCTCCAACATTGCACGCTAAAGGGAGTCCCCTTTTCCTTTATCAATGAAAGGCACATGGGTGAATACCTCTGCATCATTGGGTTCTTGTAGAATAGCAGCTTCCAGGTATAAGATTGTAACTGGCAGGTCACCTTCTTTCATTTTTTTCAGTCCTTCCTCAAAAGCACCAGGCCAGTCTTTAAAGGGATTCTCAGTATGGAAAAAATAACCCTGGAGAAGAGAGATAATGGACCCATGATGAAGCACAGTAGCAAGGAATGGCATCTCTGTAAAATTAAATGACTCACGATTTCCCAACTGAATGTAAATATGCTTTGTTCTATGAAAATAGTACGACTCCCCCTCCCTGAAATGTCACTGAAAAAACCTGTAAAAGCCTAGCATCACTGGACATTTATGTTTCTGCTCTCTTTATTTTTACTTTAGCTCTGTAGTAATACTTACTGGTACTCATGTTGGGCTCTCCTGCGCCATCAAATATAATGGCAACAACTCACACTGTCTGCAATAACAGCAGAACTGAACCTAGCATAAGCCTGATCCAGTTTGGTGGTGAAAAGCACGAACCAAGCAGTGGACTCCCTGCAGTGCTTGTAACCTGATTCTGTTCAGTTAATAGTCTGAAAGCTTCAATTAACCTTCAAGGTACAGAAGAGTGTTGCAAATACCTGAGTTTATTTTAGTATTTTAAATTTTGCCTTGCTGCTGCAGTGTAAGTGGTGTATGCTAATATCAGCTACACAGTAAAAATCAAATTACTGATCAAGTTACCCACCCTGTTCAATATCTTTGTCACTGACATGGACAGTGGGATTGAGTGTGCCCTCAGCAAGTTAGCCAACGACACCAAGCTGTATGGCTCGGTTGATACGCTGGAGGGAAGGGATGTGATCCAGAGGGACCTGGACATTCTTGAGAGGTGCGTCAGTGCCAACCTCATAAAGTTCAACCAAGCCAAGTGTAAGGTCCTACACCTGGGTCAGAGCAATCCCAGGCACAGCTACAGGTTGGGTGGAGAAGAGATGCAGAGCAGCCCTGCGGAGACAGACTTGGGGGTGTTGGTTGATGAGAAAATGAACATGAGCAGGCAGTGTGCGCTTGCAGCCCAGAAAGCCAACCGTATTCTGGGCTGCATCAAAAGGAGCGTGACCAGCAGGTCAAAGGAGGTGATCCTGCCCCTCTGCTCTGCTCTTGTGAGACCTCACCTGGAGTATTGTGTGCAGTTCTGGTGTCCTCAACATAAAAAGGACATGGAACTGTTGGAACAAGTCCAGAGAAGGGCCATGAGGATGATCAAGGAGGACCTCCTATATGAAGATAGGCTGAGGAAGTTGGGGCTGTTCAGCCTGGAGAAGAGAAGGCTGCATGGAGACCTCATAGCAGCCTTCCAGTATCTGAAGGGGGCCTATAGGGATGTTGGGGATGAACTCTTCATTAGGGACTGTAGTGATAGGACAAGGGGTAACGGGTTAAAACTTAAACAGGGGAAGTTTAGATTGGATATAAGGAGGAAGTTCTTTACTATAAGGGTGGTGAGGCACTGGAATAAGTTCCCCAGAGAAGTCGTGAATGCTCCATCCCTGGTGGTGTTCAAGGCCAGGTTGGACAGAGCCTTGAGTGGCATGGTTTAGTGTGAAGTGTCCCTGTTCATGGTGGGAGGGCTGGAACTAGATGATCTTAAGGTCCTTTCCAACCCAAACCATTCTATGATTCTAAATTAAAACATATGATGGAGGGAATGGAGAGACAGAATTTCATCATTTCTATACTCAACAGTGTTTGAATGTGCCAACTGAGATTTTTTTATTTGGTGCTTTTCCTAAAGTGCCCATCTTCAAAAGTGCCCATAATCTAGCAGTTTGCTTTGTGAACCTTCTAGCTGAATTCTGGCAGCGTGCAAGTCTAAATGTGTTCTCACTATGATAAGGTTTTTTAATCTACCCCACTCCCAGACAGTCAAGGAGAATGATCTCTTCTGGGCAAAATTAGCTTCTGTGTCCAAAGAGTTTTCTTGGGTTGCCTTGAATAGCTGAGACTCATCTCAAAGTTTCACAGGAAGGATATTAAAAACCTTTGTGTTACCTTCTCAATGGTTGAGATGGTGACTTGTCCTGGTGCTTCCTGGTTCTCTGAAATCCAGTTTCTGCGAGCCATTTCTTCCCATTCTGCTTGCATTTTATCCCAAAACTCTGTGTCTGACTAGAAGAAAAAGAGGGAAGAAATGAACAACAAAACTTTAAAATGAAATGGTAAGCTTTCAATATCTTTCTACCAGTGGTCAGAGTCTGGCAATTCTGCTGAGCAATATTAATTCCATTACTAATCATACTGACTGAAGCTCATATTTGGAATTCCATAATTAATTTTCCTCTTTTGCATTGGAATGCATTTCATCAAGAGAAACTCTTTATTTCAGAGACAGTGTATGCGCTGTTTGAAGCAGGATTTGCAGCAGCTTACACTGCACCTTACTGATGCTAACAGCAAGTTATTACATAAAATGTAAAGGAAACGAATGCTACTTGTCCCTGGCCAAAAAAAAAACCCAACAAAAAACTAATAATTTATTTATGTTAAAGAATAATAATAGATAAAACCATTTAAAAGAGAACAAGCATCCCATTTTGGTACATTAAGCATCATTTTCAATTATGTAAAAGGGCAATATTAAAGCTGAGACAGAGGGTGTTTGCACAAAAGAATTAATGCAAATAGGACTTTCTGACATGGAGAAATCTTAATACTACCTCAGACACTGTGCTGGTGAGAGGAGTCTATAAGACGACCTGAAGTTTACAGTAAAATTAACATTCCCCTCAAAGATGAGGGAAAATGCATATACAAGAGAAACAGAAATGATCGAATGAAATTTAGGAATGAGGGAACTACAACGGCTCCTAGAAAATGATGCCAAGAAACAGAACTAGGATTAAAAAAAAAAAATGGGGAGAATCCAAGTTAAGGTGCTGTCTTTTTAGCCTCCACACATCAGTCAGAATCCCTGAAAAGCAGTTCCATAGCAGAATGTATGTTCAGCACTATGAACCTTTGCAATGTTCTCCAGTTCCTAGAAGGTCATGGCCAGAACTTCAGTGAACTGACACTATGCAGGGCACAGTTTCTCAACTTATTTATGTCAGAGACAACAGTACAAATAATTCTATTGAGGTTCAGACAGAACTATTTGAGAGTGAGCTGCTAATCAAAATGAACTGAAGGTAGTATAAATTGGTTCAGATAATTTTGTCTGCATCTTCATTACAAAACTGACCACTTTGCTACTGCTCCATAGCCAGTCAAGATTCGCAAAAACCAAAGCTTAGTCTGTGATTGCATTGCTTGTTACAACTCTCCTTAGGTACTTGGGAAAAGGAAAGTACACACTCTTACTGCCAAAATGTCATCATGTGCCTCCTGATGTCCAGCACTTTGCTCCAGGAGACTTAGAAATGTCTGAATTAGGCAATTACTGGATCTGTGAAGGTACCTGCTATGTTCTTCTGTGGATTAGGAAACAAATGTGAATCATTCACTCCTGCAGAGGAGATTTCACTCTTTGTCACTGGAGTGAACAGAACTTGACAAATCTGTTAAATGACAATTTCCAAGGTTTCAAAATTTGCTTTTATTCCAAATTTGAAGGAAATAGTGTCTAATAAATAGTTGAGAAATTGTGAGGAAATGTCCATTTAGGATTTGAAAAGGACAGGATAATGAATCAGATCACTCCTTCTTTTACTCATATCAGCCATGACCAGAAGCACTTGAATCCATTAAACTACCTTGTTCAACAGATGTCTCTATCAACTATTTTGCATTCAGTGCAAATCTGTACTGCCCTGAATAAAAAATTACTTGACCATGGTTTTGCTGGCAGTAATTTTGAGATTCAGGAGGAGGTAAAGGACTGGAAATTTCCCTTTCCTACAGATTAATATTAGTATTGAATTTATTAGTATTAATATTGAAAAATAATTAGTAATGCCTTCTTAGTCTTACAGGAGTAGTGATATTTATATGAGTATCTATAATGTTTATATTAGACTTTTTGCTTGTGTTTTTCCCCACAATAATCCCTTATGAATCAGTGGTTTGTTTCACATAGGTACAGGATGGACCTAAATCCCCCTGCTTGCATTTTTAAGAAATTCAAAAGTACCAGTTTTGGGTAAAACACAGCTAATTATTAGCAAGATTAGATTAAAACATATCTGATACAGCACCGGCATTTGGAAAACACATTTCTGCATATTGTAAGCAAGCATGTAAGTGGTTTCAAGTCTTAAATTCAAATTTAGCTGCTTAATTACACTTTTATAATTCACAGAGAAGTTCACTATGTGCATACTCCACTTAAAAAGCTAATGAATTACTATGCATTCAAGTAGCCATGCTTAATGTCTATCTATAGTGAGCAAAAGGTGGAGAGAAAATATAATGGGGAGAAGACATGATTTGCTAGAATGTGTCTCAGTGCATCACATGCCACTTGGACACAGACCAGGACCCAGCTGCTAATTTGCAAATATAAGCAAAGATTTGCTTGTTTGGGCCAAATGGGCTTATGTCCCAGCTACAGTTTTCTAAGTACACCAAGAATGTGGGGTTTCCAAAACTGGTATGGCAAAGCTGCACTGAGCAACTGGATCATGTCCAATTATGGCACCTGGTAAAATGCTATAATATTGCTGTGACAAATAGTAGTGTCAATAGCAGAGCTGTTTAAGGTCCTTGAGGAAGAGGACTGTAAATATTACACAGACTTTGTTTAAAGGGCTATGTCTGTTTCAGCTGTCCTTAGTAGCAATTTTTTCAATGACTTCAGTGGCAGGAGGGTTAAATGAACGAGTGTTTCAGAAAATCTGGCTCCTAGATCTAATTTTAATTCTATTTGCTATGTGGCTGGTGCCAGTTACCTCATTTCAATGTTTCTGCTGCCTTAATGCTGGCAAATTACTTTGGACATACTGAAAGTTTTCAGACCAGTTGAACACATTTAACACGTTCTCAGGTCATCTGCAGCAAAGTGGAATGACAGCCAGGAAAAATGTTCATATCATCTCACTGCTTCCAAGCAGAAAATTCTGCATTTTGTCAAAGATGCTGTTTTTATTGTTAGTATTTAAGAACATGCTGAAGCAGTTAAACAATGTGAAGCAAAATATTTCCAGGCTTTTTGCTTCCTATGATACAAAGAGAGGTGGTGGTGTGGGGTGGTGTACTTTCTGAATTTTGCTGGCTGATTTCTAAATTTACCTATTTTTATAACATTTACAGTAGAATTTTGCCTGTCCTGTACTGCCAAAAATTAATTTGCAGTGTTCCTTCCTGATGAATGCAGAAGAAAGGAAGGTTCTGTGATTGTTCTTTCTTTGAATTACTTCATCAACATACACTTCAATGTGAAAGACATAGTAAGTTAAATTTATGTGCTAACATAAGATTTCCTTAGCTGATATCTTCTCAAAACAAAATTTTAAATATGCCTTTTTAGTAAGGTTTAGAGATAGAATGTATATCAAGGCAAAGGTTCCCATTGTGATTTGAGACTACCAAGTAAATACATCTGAATGCTTAAGCTCCTATGTCCCAGTTTAAAATGTGCTTTAGGCAATCTTAGGCACATCCATGTTGAAATAGTGACACAGGAATACCATAGACACAGAAAGTATTCTAATTGGTATTCATGGGAACCACAAAGCTGATGATTCTGGACTATGTTTTCCTAGTCTAGAATAAACTAATCCCATCTTCTTCCTACTATGGTCTCATAATTTAGCTGTAGTATGTCTGATGCTTCTAACAGTATAGTTATACAGCAGATGGCTCTTGTGGCATGGTGGTGTAAATAAAATGATGCTGAGAAGGACAGCTCAAAATTTCTTTTGCGTAAGCTCACAAGACTGTTGCATCTTCAATTTCATCTCTACATCAAGGAACTGTGGAGTAAGAAAATATCAAAATTGCTTTTTTTCTTTTCCATCTGAAACATTTCTCAGTTGGAAGTTTTTTGCACTTTCTTGTTTGTTTATTTAACTCGTTACCAACAGGACGGTGGATGATAAATATCATTTTAACAGAATTTAGGTACAGGATGGACCTGAATCCAGAATTGAAGTACTAATGTTTGGTAAAACAGTTCATTATTAGAAAGATTACATTAAAACATAATTGGTATGGCACTGGCACTTGGAAATCACGAAGACTTTAGGCTATCTGTGCTTCCCTCGTGTATAGCAAAGGGATGATGCAAAAATCAAATATCCAGTTTCCAGAATGACAGGGAAGTTAGCAAAGTGCAAATTGTTGCAAGGGAATCTTCACCCTCTCATGTAAAAACCTGATTTACTTACCTCTTTATTCTTAAAAGATTCCCCAATAGCATAGACATCTTTAAACCTTCTTATGAAAGAATTACCTCGCAGATCTACATTAATCTCAAAGTTTGACATGTTAAAACCATTCCCAAAGCTCTAAAGTGAATATTGGGTGGAAGATAAAGTTTGGTGTCTTCATTTACTGAATTGTTAATTAATTCTTTTCAAACTAGGCTACAAAGACCCTGAGATTTGCTTCCTTTTCTTCATCAGTTTTCTGGCTAATCTTGCCACTTGGAGATTTCCCAGTTGAAGAATATTACAGGAATATCCAAAGCCGAAAGAATAAATTTGAGAACTGCATCTATTCTCCGCTTAAGAAAGTACTAATCTTTCTGAGATGGGCTGCAATTTTTTTCAATCACTCTGGCTTTCTTAGCACTTCGTTTTAGCTATGATGAAACTTCAACTCTTTTCATATGCAAATGAAAATAGCTGCTGTATAAGATCCTGAAGAATCCTTTCCTTTACATTTTAATGACCTGGGCCAAATTTCTGTTTTAAGCAAAAAAAAAATTTAAGACTGCCAGCTGAACAGCTAGGGAAGCATTTAATTAGATTCTTTTTAATAGCTGTTTGTGGGGCTATATTAAAGCATTTAACAATCTGTTGCCTCAGAATGACCTTTTAATGCGCAGGTGTATTTTTTACTATATATTCTCCTTCATACTTTACTCTGTAAACTAATTCAGTAATATCTTCTAGTCTGTTGTTGGCCTCAGATAATTTTTATTTCTGTTGAATGCCTGAGAACTCCCCATCACACATAGTTTCTGGCAATTGCAAGAGTACTGATATCATTTGCTTAACCACTAACTGTAACACAAAGATATCCATCATCAGATTCCCGTGTCACAATCACAGATTACAGCACAACCTGTCCCATTTTAAGGATCAGTCTGCGATGCAATTAGTCAATTAGTAACATCTAGAGCATTTTAAGGAGTGTCAATCTGAAAGCAAATCTCTCCTTTCCTACCAGGAGCAAATGTGTATGATACGTGACATCAGTGTCACTAGCAGATTTTTATAAAGAATCTATTTGATCGGAAAAAAAACAGTGCATTCAGAAAATACAAGAAAAATGCCTTCAGTTTATAGTTCATAAAACAGCTAGCTTACGCATTGTGTTCATTTTAGCCTTGTACACTAAGACATTTTTCTGTGTCCAGTAAAATACTAAGAAAACATGGTAGAAACCATACAGTCTTACCTTAGCATATCATGAAAATCAAATTAACTTTTTAAATGAGAAATCCTGATTCCAGCTAGAAGCCACCATATGATTTTGGCCTTGTTTTCTTTGTAATTAACCAATATTAATCTAGAATAGGTCAACTGCCAACACTGCAATTACAGTGGTATAAAACTTGAGTTAGAGGAGTATTAAAATACAGGCACTAAACTTTAAACCTAAATCCAAATATCTCTGAAGTGTTCTAGATGTTTTGAGACTAATGGGACTGCAGTTAATGTCAAAAATAATCAGTTTTGAGGAACCAGTTTCACAGCCTTATCTTTCCACCCCAAAAACTCATTTCAGTAGCTGTTACATAAGGCAGACTGAACTTTTGTCCTTTGTTGGATGCAGCTGCCTTTGCTCTTTGTGGTGATGGGATGTTGAAAGGTTACCGACTGGACCCCTAAGAAGATTTGATGCTCAAGGTCAATAGTTATATTTGATTTTTCTTTGTTTCTGTTAAAAAACTATATATGCCATCTTGTCTCTAGAGAGAACTGGGATCTCAGCTGGGACTAGTGATATAGGGCAACACTCAAGAGGCATTTTTCATGTTGGAAAAGTAGTGGAAAAAAAACAGAAGTGCAATAGGAGACCTATCCAAATACCTGCACCTTTCAAACTAAATTGATTTGTTAGGAAACGAGTGCTCCTGTATTTAACATTCTGCCACTAATTATAAAAATTGATGCATGATTACTGCTATGCATGCAGCTATCCATGACAGCAAGTAATCATCCTGCTTATCAATGATTCTGAATTCCATTTTCACTGTGGAGAACTGGTCTGTGCCTGAGCTTAAATAACTGAATGCACATATTCAGTTCCTGGGGAAAAAATATGTTTCACTCTTATACTTTAAGTTTGGAAGTACTTACATTTATGGGGATTTTTTCTTGACCTACTTGCTATAGCAATAAAAGTCGAGCTTGAGAAGTTGGTTCTGTCTAATCTTCATTTATAGCTAAGTTATTCATTTATTTCCTTTTTAAGATAGAAACTGCTATTTCAAATGAGTAACTCCAGGCAATGTATCTAGTCTCTGCTTTAAACAATCCAGTTCCGACTTTCTCCTATACCTGTGCTGTACGATAAGAAATCCATAGAACATTAGCTGCAAATGAAAAGAGTAAATGGAGCAATACCTCAACAGCCGCCTTTGCTCTTTCAAATTCCTCCTCCAAAGAGTGATTTCTGGAGAGTAAAGGCCCGCCCCAGCGCTGCTCCTTAGTTGATCGTGCCTAAAAGAGAAAAGAATAAATCAGAAAGGGATGACATCCTCTCTGCCACATTTCTGAGTTATTTCCTAAAATTGCCTACAGCCTGAAATGGCCTTTTGCTTGGGCAAAACTAGTTGCATCCCTGCATGAACTCCTCTGAATTCTCTTACACTGTAGCAGAGATCATTCCTCATGGGAAGCAGAGTAATTGATCTTTTCCAGACTTTATTTTTACTCAAGATGTGTGAAAGACATAGAGACCTCCAGGAAAAGACAATGCGAGAGTTGGGCTACAAAGGGAAGAGCTGACTATTTTGTGTAAGACTTTTACCTTAATTGTTCCTTCTCCAGTATTATGACTGTGGCAATGCATTCCACTCTTTATGCTCCAGGAAGAAGACATCTGATTTTCCCTGTATATTTTGTGGTGTTCTTTCAGATTCTGCTTTGATACCACACTAGAGAGCCACATTTGCTACAGATTTCACTGGAAGCACAGATGCTTTTTACAGTCAGCAGCTCTCTTTTCTGCGCCTTACTATCAGTCGATCCCATTGGAAGAACATGACAAGTTTCTCCCCGTTCTTTTATTAAAAACATTTTAGTTATTTTTTTGCACAAAAGGCCCAGTACAAAACCAAACAGTATTCAGTGAGGGCATAGGAAAACACAGAGTGTTTTTTTTCTAAGCAGAGCTCTGACTGCTAATCCCTTTCCTCATGTTTGTTAGAGGTTAAACTCATTAGCCATTTGCCTGACCATGGTCCCTAATGTATTAATTTATATTATATTTCTGATGACTGTACTTGTAATATTCATTGAGCCATATTGCTAAACCACTAATTCTGCTCATTTCACGCATATTGGGCTGGAACTGCAAGTGGAATGTGCACTGTTGGGGTGAAACACCCCAGACATATAAGTCATGTGCAATGCATGGTCAAATAGGTATGTCTGTGTGGATTTTTACCTAGGAAAGATGACATTCGTTTGTCAATCTAGCTCTAAAGTTTCTATTTGTTCCTGAGTCTTTGGTCTCTCTGATAGATTGATGAGTGAAATATATACTGGGTTGATGATACACATGAGGTTAGAAGAGAATGACCCTGCACAATTTCTATGAGACCAGGTGGTGGGGGGCACTGCATGCATTCTTCTATGTTGGTTTCTGGGCTTTGCTGCAAGTGATGGAAGCACAGAGCATGAGAGAAGATCTGCACTGAGGATCTGTTGTTTCTGCTTTCACACTGACTGTCTCTGGTCTGTGTTGTTGGAAAAGTACTTTTATTATTTGGTGAGGCCAGGAAGAGATACCAGGTTGTCATTAAAAACATGCCAAAACCCAATCCTATACACAAACCAGTTATTTTAGTGAATAATAGAGTTTAGGGCAGAAGAGACAACAGATTTAAGTCATCTATTTATTTATATATCATACAACAGTACCTGTCACTCAACATCTGCAAGCTGAAACTGATGTTCCACAGAGAATAAACTGAGGTTGTCTGGAATATGTGTCTTTGAGGAGGGTGTGTGGTTTTAATTTAAAGTTATCAAGAGACCTTAATCTTATCACTTTATTTGCAAATTAATTTAATTGCTGTCCTTGTTTTTCTTATTAGTTTTCCTTTCAGTTTCCAACTATCACTTTTTACTCTTTTTCCAGTAGTTTAAAGATCTTTTTAGTACACAGTATTTTCTCTCTGGAAAGATACTGATGTCTTGAATCAGGTTTTAACTGTATTTTAAATTATATAAAGAGGTTGAGATTCTAAATTACCTCATTATGAGGCATTTTCTTCTGATTTCAGCTTTTTTTTGTGTCTCTTTTATTCTCCCTCTTTATTTTTTATAGCTCTATTTTTTTAATAGCCATACAGAAAACCAAAGAAAACACTATATTCCAGTTATCTGTCTTGCTGTTTCTCTATACAGAATTGGGGTGATTGCCAGTGTCCCACTAATTATGCCTGCTTCTGCACGCTCATCTTGCTACAGTACCGTACACGTTGTCACGTTGACATCCTTGTACACTCTGAACTATAGATTCTTTTCAAATTGCCTTCCAGCATAATGTTGTAAGTAGAGCCTGTGTTCTAGTTCTGAAATGTATTATTTTGTGACTGTATTGGAATATGTCTTTGTACAGATGTATTGGTCATCAGCTCAAGACTGGCTGGTAATGATTCCCTTATTTACATATTTTTCATTACATTTTTTGCATCATATGCCAGTTTTATCAGGAATGGTTTGCATCTTTATTTTCAGATCAGTAAAACCAAAGACCGTGGCTTCTCTTTGGAATTGCAGAAGAGCCCCTATGTGATTACAATTCATAGTAAATAACTACTGTTCTTGAGATCTTAGGTTAGCCAGTTTTTTATCTGTTTAACAGCTGCTTTATTCATACGGTATGGTGCCAATTTTAAAAGCAGAATATGGTAAGTTAATTCAAACATCTTTCAGAATATCACACAGCAACATTTATCAACCTGACCTGTAATCTGATCAAAGAATTATATTTGGTTTCTTGACACAAAACTCTGTTGCAAGACATTAGTTATGTTCCTAGGCTTTTCATTATTTATAAGGTGGCTCTTGCAAACTTTGATTACTTCCACTTCTTAATCTTTTGTTTCCAGTGACTGCAGTTTCCTTAGGTCACGTACAGTACTGTAAATCATGACACTCAGATTGAGCAGTGCTGCAGAAGGGGAGAGTGTGCTTGTTGGGGCAGTAGAGAGGTGAAGGGGAAAAGAACAAAAAAAGCCGATGTCTCCTACATCTGTGCCATGTAGGGCATGGCACGTCTGCCGCTTGTCAGAGTATACACACTGTCCCCACATATTCCCCTCAGAAATATGCTTTTTCCTCCGTTAGATGCACAGCCAGAGGGGAAAGAAAGAAGTAGTTAATAAGACCCATATAAGCTGCATTTGGATGTAGACAACGCAGTCATATTCTGAGTGGTGATACGCAAAAGTGAAAGACCCCACTTAAAACAAACATGCTGCCTTTTGCTAGTGCAGGATAGAGGGGATGGGAATGGAGTGCTGGCACTGGAGAACTTCACATCTCCAGCTGGTGATGGAGTGGGACTCTGCACCTCCCTCCCTCAAGGGGAGCCCAAGGCAGGTAGGGGTCAGGGTGGAATGGGTATGTCTGAGGCATGGACACTCTGCATAGACTGTGGTTTGATATGCTCACCACTCTACCATGGAGGTGCTGTAGCTGATCACTGGCTGCTGTCTTCAGGGACAAAATCTTCCATTCCAATGCATTTGCACACACTTTCCTGCACTTGTTGTCTGCTTATGTGCTGTTGGACCTTAACTGTTGGTGAAAGGCTTAAATTATAGTCTTAACTTTTGAGCAAGTCTTCAAATAATGAGCTAAATCTGTCCCTTGTAGCTCTTAATTTCATTAAATTAACTGGCACATTCATAGAGAACTGGGGCCATCAGTCTTATCTGGGAGAAGTGGGGAATAAATTCTTCATTCTAAATATTGTTGCCCCAAACTACAGGTTTCTAAGATTTATGAGCTTTGTGTATTACTTTGTCTGAGAGTGCTGACATACTGGAATTAGGTATGGTTGTTTAGCGTGTCAGGGGTTTTGTGTATGCATTCTGTGTGAGCAATAAAATATCTAAAATGCCAAGGAGGTATTTAGAAAGTTTAAATATGAGCAGACTTCATGCAATATACAATTGAACATTATCTCCCTCTGCAGTTTGTAATTATAAGAGAAAAAATAAGCCATCAAAAACACCCAAACACTGTAGGTATCTCAGTACTAATAAAAGCACAGCAAGGAACTTTCCAGAATGGCAGATAAAATAAAGAACGAAGATACTTTGGACCAATGCAGTCTATGAGTTAATAATAGGTAACATATGATGCAAGTAGAATGCTGAGAAGAGGACCGTACTCAGGGACAGCTACCATGCCACTGCCCGTTCCAGCCTTCAAACACATTTCTTCCTTATTAATTCAAAGCTTACATTTGTGATTTGGTGTTGGCATAAATGCTGGTAAACACAGGATTTTGTTAAGAAGATTGCATAATTTTAATGAAAATATGATCTAGTTACTTAGTATTTCAGTCTGAGGAACTAAATCTAACATGTCAGAGATGAATGATGAAGGTGATTGTCTGAGAAACTGCTGATGGAAAACTGCAGCAAGTTTGACAAGCTGAAATCTTTAGGGTATGGCAGAATCTGTTGCATATGCAAAAGTTACCCATAAATGAGTGAGACAAGATCTATAGAGGACAAACTATGGAAAACATATGCTTTGATAAAAGCTCTAACGTGATTTCTTTTACAAGCAGATTAAGAATGCAGTCAAGACAGATGAGCATGTCTGCTGGGAAATGACAACTTTTGACAGTCCAGGTATAAGCAGGATGAAGCAGGCAGTGAATTATAATACTAAATTTGTAAGTAAACTACTTGGAACAAGAAAACAATCTCACTTCAGGTCACTTCTCTGCACTACTGATTACCAGTTTAACAACATTTCATGACTTGAATGGATCACAAGTTTGGGAAAAAATCAGTTTACAATAAAAGTAAACAAACCATGAAATATACCAGGACAACAGATAATAATTTTATACTCTGCTTCTTTTTCGAGTTGGCTGATTCAGCTTCACATATTTTTATTTTGAAATACTAGTTATTTTGGAAAATAGTACGGAAGCTCAGCTGACTCAACTTACACTGAATTAAAAATGTGGATTTTTGCCTCTGCAGTCATTCTAGTGGAAGATAAACAGGAAATAGACCATATAAAGTAGCTATGTTAAATACTAAATTTGTAACTGCTTTTACAGAAAGACACAGCACTTAAATTCTGGGACTGTCTAGTTGATTTACACGCACCTTGATTAAGCACAAACTTCCTGGCATTTAGATCTATTAGGCTGAGGAACAGCCTCCTAAAAAGGGGTTAGAGGTACTTAAAGATACGATGATCAAAAGCATGTGAAAACACACTGTCTGTCTCAAGTGGATGATATTATGCAATAGACCTTTTCCATTACTAAAATGTATAAATCTATTGCACACACAGGAAAAATATTATGCATTACAACTAGTGTTAGGCTTTCCAAAGGGGAAAAACTTGTTTATAATGTAAAGATGGCAGGGAAGTAAAGGAGACTTTTTTCCTAATCAAAACACAGGAATGGATCCTAATAACTGGGTTGTATTTATATTTTCTCCAAAAAAAACCTTCCATGCATAATTTCAGGAAAGACATTTGGAACTTTGGTGTCTCATTTTTCTGATTTCAAGTGAGGCTTTTATTTTCCATTAATTTCCAGATTTTCCATCTGATAGCAATGTTTTGAAGTCCAGGACTAAAAATAGCTGTGGAAGAGGAGAAAAGTATTTTCAACTAAAAGTTAATCCACCAAATATCTCTCTCTTCCCCCTACTAGTGGCACTGGCTGAACTTGAAAACTTTTGGTTAAAAAAATAAGAAGCAGGCAAGAAGGATTGTATAGTGACCTGATCTATGCAATATATAATGCATGTTTGTACATACATATGCATACCTGCACATATAATGTATGTTTGAACATATATATGCATACATCCATATGTAAAACCCATACAACTCAGTAATAACTTCCACAAAGTCCTGTCTAAAATACAATATGACAGTGCAATTAGGCAAATCTAGAAACTTTCAACCCAGAGCCTTCTTCATTATTGTTCCCATTCCAGCAGGAAAATGTCCTTGGCCCACTCTGCTCTCCCTCCTGTGGAGATAAATTGGTAATGAAAGTTGGTCTAATGATTCTTTCCTGTATTCCTTAGCCATTTTCCAGTTCTGGAGACTCCTGGTTTACCAAAAGACCTTGAGAATAGACATATGACAAGGAGAGGGAGCCACTAGAAGTCTGAATTTGAGAACTAGAGAAATGGAGAAAAGATGATGCTGTAAATTGTAGTTTGAACTCTTTCTGTACAGGAGGGTCACAGTTCAGCTGCCAGTTTAATACTGGCAGGTTTATTTTCATAACATTAATTTGGAAGCTCTGTGAAGATTTGGTTGTATAATTTTTTTTAACTGATGATCCTGAAAATATCTCTTAGATATTCCTTCCAGAAAGTAAACAGATAACCACTGGTGCAATTCCTACTTGTCTTTTTATTGTTAATAAATCTACCATATCCTCTTACCTGTGTTGCAGATGCAAGTTCTAATTCTGATGTTGAATCGGATTCCAAGGCACTCTTGACATTAGTCAGCTCAGACTGTGATCTGTTTTCTGTGGACCTGGAAACAATGCATTTACATACTTACCACTGCATACTACAGCATGCTTCCTTATGTCTTTCAGGTTCATAAGCACATACTGATTAGGTTATTTATTTTAACTGAATTGTTTTATCTGCAGTTATCAGAAGTGCCTGGACCCTTGTCAGTGTTCCCACTCTTAGACTTTTCAGTCATATGCAGACAGTAGTTAATACAACAACAGTCAGGCCTGATTCACCAGTAGCGTCCATGGTATGTATTGGCATGAAATTAGTATGATGGGATGAAGACTTTGTCTCTAATGCTATGCTTCTATTCCATAGCCAGGCAGAATGAGGTTAGGCAATGACACAAGACTGTATCTGCAGTCAGTATCTAAGAATCAACCACCACATTACAAAACTTCACCTTGTCATATGTGCATTTTTGTGCCACAATATCCTAATAGTCTTTCTTCCTAGAAAATGAAACCCTGCTTACCAAAATTGAGTTCACTGAGCAAAACGTGTAATGTTTTAAGTTAATGAAACACCCTGATAAAGCGTAGGTTAAGATACAGGATAAGCATCATTTGTTCAGAAAACTGCTTCTAGTGTATGAAAATGCTAATTATGATGATGCATAATGTAGTGAATGAATGTTGCTTACATATCAGGAAGGCAGCAGAACTAATCTACATGAACTGTTCTCAAAGGCAAAGTCCAATTCTTCCCTCGTTTACATCCCCTGCGGTTTTAGTTGAACTGCATGGAAGAGGTAGTACTTGTCTTGGATATTTTATGTTGCTTCTTCCATTTGTACACAGAAATTCTGCCCTCTTGGTAGCAAAACCAAAATACAATGGATATCCAGTGACTGTCATATCACTGCCAAGCATCCTTTTTTACTTATTTTACTCATGTTTGTAGGTGGTTTTAAATCACTGCATGCCTCTGTAGAATTCTCACCACCATTTATTTACTAATTGCACCTGCTGCTTTTCACAACACTGAAAATTACTGGCAAAATGTAATTATATAGTGTACTTGCTTATGATACATTGCCCAAAATATCTTCTTGAACACGTTTAACGTAGTCATAACAGACTTAATGACTTGTCATGAAGCGAGCATTTCTGTGAATTAAGAAAGCTGGAACTATTTTTTGTAAGGAAAGCAAAAATTTGTACCATAAAAGCTCTTTTGATGGAGCTCTAGATGATGATGATGTTCGCTCTGCAGAAGGGTGGGCTTTGCTACTCCTGTCTCCAGGAAAACTGACATCATCCCATTTCTCTAGCTGTGTCTGAATATCAACTGAAAAATAAGAAAATAAAACATATATATATTTTAAAGAAACTACTGCAGAAAATTTTATCTCTTCTGTTAAGAGGTTATAGAGAAATTGGTGCCACCAATTGTACTTTAGTTAAGGCCCAATAAACAGAAAAGTTGTGCAACTTTTTAGCTGATACTCTATGAAAATATTTTGGAATTGACAGCATTTTTTCTGTTAGTATTCATGGTCAGGATGTCAGTGAGAGTCTTTCATTTAAAATCAGTAATTTGTAAGTAATTTAGATCTGTTGATAAAATTATATGATTTGATAGTTTTGGATATTTTTAATTTCCTAGTTATAGTCAAATTGTGAAAATAAAACATTTTAGTGACTACCATTTAAAAACGACTTTGTAGGCAACTGATATTATTCAGTCATATGTCGGACTTGCTTTGCAAAAATCAGATGTTCACCTCCTGTTTGAGGATAAAGTTCTCAAAAAGAATTTCTGTGCTGATGAATGGAAATCTGCTACCTTGGTATAAATTACATTTACCTTGCAAATTTCTCAGCTGTGGTGCAAGTAATTTTGTTTGGATGGAACTAAATTAAATTCATCTTTTCCAAATCTTATCTATAGATCATGCTTGACAGGATATTAAGTTGTGTTTGGGATTATTATAATTTTTTTTTAGCCTGTATAAACATAGCTCTCTATCAAGAAGGGATTTTTTTATAATCTTGTATGCATAGATAAAGTAGTATTTACAAATCTAATGTGTATTTCTGACATCTGCGGTTCTGAAAAGGACATTCATGGGCTGGATGATTTGTGTCCTTTACCTATTTCTTATCAATCCCCTATAGATTTTTCTTCCATTTTACCCTGACTAAATTATTTTTTGTAAGAAATTTGCACATTTAGTAACTTCATAGGTTAAAATGGCAAAGGCAAAACAGGTTTCAAGTTTAAGGTGTTTCAAGTAGTTTATAATGTGGAACAAAGGCTACCCTCTCTGGTGTAACAAAAATTCTGGTCCTGCTCATTATCCTGTGACAGTAGCAAGGAAAAATTCGTGCTAAGCAAGAGGAAAAGTTTGTGCTAAGCAAGGCTATCTAGCACTGATAAAAGAGCTACACTCTTACCTAAATCTAGTGAAGACTTGTCTGAAACTCTGACAGTCTGGGCTTTCTGCTCAATATCCACGCTTATAAGGTCAGAATTGTCTGTCTTCTTTCTGTGGATTGAAGCTTTTAAGCCTTCACTTCTTGATGGATTCTCTGATTTCTTTGCTTTGTTTTGGCTTTGTAAGACAGGTTCACTAAGATCCAAGAGATCCAGACCTGCTGATAATACTTGGAGACAAAATGTTAGAATTCAATGTTGTTTTAATTAGAACAGCTCACTCAAAAAACTTGGTTTAATTGGAAAAATATATGAATGTGTTTGCACTTGACTACAGCAAATGTGTATTTCCTGGCTGATGATGTTTCCTGGATGATGACCAGTATATTCAAATTGATTATTAGGGATTTCAGGTGCTTAACAGGATGCAGTTTAAAAAAGCTTAATTTGCATAAAAGGCTTTTCCTCTGAAAACCTTAAAGAACTCTTAGATCTGATATTGTGAGAGTTCCCCTTACAACTGAGCTTTTAGATAAGATTTGGTTTAATCCTGTGATTTATCAAGTAGCTGCATAAGGCACTACTGTTGTGCTACATACCATTATGGGAAAACCTGAAGAGTAGACAGTTTCTAGGGTGGATTTCTTGGGTCCTAAAGGAGTAATGGTACTTTTAGTAGTGGTTTCTACTGTTGTTGCTCTTTGTCTTTTGAGGAATAAATACAGAATATAGTTATAAATTCTACTGCTATTTCTATTAAGCACTGTATCGCATGAAAGGCATGTTCAGTCTCAGTTCTTCATTTAAAGTTGCTTAAGGAGTAACATTTAAAATTATTTTGCACATAAAAGATAAAAATCCTCCCTCTTTATCTTTCTTTTATAGGGCAGGTGTCTTTGACAGATCAGTTTGGATTATCTCTTGCTGTGCTTTATCTGTGTTCTTGGAAAACCAGTGAATTTCATCAATCTTCATAGACATTTTTATTTTGCTATTAAATAATTGCAATTATTCCCTCCCCAGTCTGATATCTATTCAAGGCAGATATAGTATCTATAGATAGTTTTTACAAGCACCACTCTTAAACAACCTGAAATATTTTTATTGATCCTTGTAATATCTTTAGCTATATATAAAAGGAAAAGATATTACTTACTATTGTTATTTAATTCAGTGTTCTGGATTTTGCTACTAGGACTTGCATATTGCTTTAGACATTTATTAATTAAATGTGAAGATAATCACTCAGCTGTCAGTTACTCATTTAATAATTTGCATGTATATAGATTTTAATTAAATGGCTTCTAACCAGCCAAGTCACTTAATGAGACAGCAATAGAACATAGTAGTGCTGTGCTGATTTTATTGTAACTTAGTTGATCCGCTCAACCACTTTGATTTCCTTTGCACAAAGGAAAGTCCTATACTGAATAGGACGAGGCCAATTCCAAAGGACAATATATTTCAAATATAATTCAGTATAATTCAAAAAGCTTTCAGAAATCACTATTACTTTTTATTATGTGCTCACATCTTATTATCACTATATCTCACTATCTTCTTATCTCATTGCAACACAAGGGAGATAAGAAATGTCTTAGATCCTTTCATTAATAAAGTGACCAAACTCAGCCTGGATAAACTGTTTTGGTATCTCTTCCCTTCTCTCTGACATCCCATCCAAGTTTTTATTACAGAAGGTCTTTCTAGAAGAAGTAATGAGTTTGGATAAAGCCAGATAAATGTGGCTTCCTGTAGGTTAAAATTTTGTAAAACCAGATTGAGAATTGCTCAAACTGGTATGTACTTCCTCTTGAACTTAAACAAGTTCGCTTTACTTCAACACCAGAGATCTGCTAGAACATATGTGATTTGGATCACATCAGATTTGCCCTCAAATGGCATGAACAAAGCTTTTTCTACTAATAGATGAAGCAATTATAATTTAATACCAGCTTGTAATTTTGTGCAAATAATAACAAATCAAGAAATCTCTTGATAAAAATGTACCATAATTAAGATAAATTTAAAATTATTTCTCTCTAGTGAGTGATAGTAAAGAATTTTGATTACCTGCAGTATTTGATGTTACAGGTCTTGCAACAGCTTCTGGTTTAGTTTCACAGAGAAAGTCATCAATGGAGGGGCTCAGAAGTGGTCTGCTTTCTTGTTGCTCATTCACCAGCTACCAACAAAAAATCCCAGGGTAACAGTGTGGTGTTGGCATGCAGAATTTAAAGAAATAGAACATATTCTCACAATACCATGTGCTTTATTTTTGATTGTGAGAGGGTAAGATACTGCAATTAGAAGGTATACATATAGCCCTGGGCTTAAAATAACAAACTGCAGTCACTCTTTTGGGGGAAAATTATGTTCCAGTTTTCCAAATTGCACAAAAATAAAGCAGCAAGGTGATTTTCCCATAGTAATTATTGCATACTATTGCTTATAGGGCTAAATTATACAAGGCCTGGCGTAACACCCTTCAGATCAATAGGTGAAATTAGCCTCCTCCACCACGAGACTAAGCAGCGCTTTTTTAGTATTTGGAAGTGGTTTTGTTTGTTTTTTTTTTTTACAGGTAACATAATACCATTTCATGAAAAAAATATGCATTAGCCCATTAAACAATAACCTGCTGAGACACAAAACACTTCTCTGCAATACAAAGACATATGAATGACTGTGGACAGAGCTTGGTGAATGTATGAACTTCCTTCATGAGGTTTGACTGTATGAATGTCATCAAAATCTGGGAAATAAACTCTAACCAGAATGGTTGGTTAGATGAAGACTCATAATACAGTTTTTATTTGTGCAATTGCATTAGTTTTCTGGTACCTAAAAGAAATCTCTCTATTACAGGCTATTTCATGTATTGGGGATTAAAAAGACAAACCAGAAAAGCAGTCTCAGATATAGAAGTCTCTTGTCTGCAATCTAGCTCTGATTGGAGGATCAAGACCTAAGCTAAGCTGTGTGCGTTTCTGATGGTGTGGCCTGTGTTTGCCTTTAATAATGTGAAGTCATATTTTCCTTCTGTCTGTTGCTTTCATCTGGAGCTGTGTCAGCTTTAGTTTTATCCTCCCTGCTCTACTTCTCTTCATTCTGTTCTTATTCTTTTCCCACTGCTGAATTTTCAAAATGTTCTCTCAGATGTATTTGACCTTTTAAATTTAGGATGCTGAGACAGAGTAAAACTTAAAAAAAAGGTACTTATTTATCCTCATTTTATATATGTTAATTACTGGCACTTAGCTACTCCAGTAGTAGAATTGCCTCTAAAGTTACTACAGCCAAACAGTTTAGACACTTAGAGCTATTGAAATAAAAAGTCCATTATTTTGATGGATCAAATGTTTAGCCTGGTACCTAGTGCTGACTGATTGTATAATATGTGCACTAACTAATTTGCCCAGGACCTTACATTTTTGCACTGACATACCAATTTACATGAATAGCATGAAGACAAATGTGTGATTGCCTGCCCAACTGTGTGTAGCAGAACATGCAAACGTGGGCACTTAATTTAGAAATCTAGCAATGATACTGTCCTGAATTCTAATTCTTCCTATGCTAAACTCAGACTTCAGGTGCATCTTACAGGTGACTTAATGATGTGGTTTTTCAACTCTCTGAACTGATTGTCCAGGTTGCTCATTCAACACTCAGAAGTTACTTGCTTAATTGAGTAAATCTCAATACTTGATGGAAGTTGCATTTATGCCAGCTGCACAACTTATGATTTCCATTAAAAGTGGCTCTACAGTACCCACATTATCTCCAGGTCTGAGCTTTACCTAATACTTAAGAGGACCTTATTTTCTCTTTATGATTTGGTGACAGTCCTTTCTCATTTCTAGTGGTGAAAAAATGAAGGTGGATGCCTAGTTAATTCTTATCCAAGTTAATTTTAATGTTTCAAAAGTTTCTTTACAATCAAATGCAGCTATCAGCACAAAAGTATTTGAATACAATTTTTTGTTTTGCATTTACTCATCCCATTCTAGGAGCTAGCATTAATAATAGCTAAAAGTGGTGCTTTCACAACTAGTTGCATGTTCAGGTGAACATAGCATCCAGTAGAAAGATTGTCAAAGCCTCTGGATCAGCTGGATCTTCAACAATCTACTCTGTGATACAATACAGTGTAAAGTCCTGTTTAGAAGGGGGACAGAGGGACATGAGAGAAGAAAGAAGAGGTTCTATAGCAATCATTCTAAATGTAAAAACTTCATAGGAAATACTCTGTTTCTGTAAGAAACTCTAAATAGAGTAGGTTACATTGTCACATAAGATTTGAAAGCTTATCAAGTTTCCCATTACTCTCTGTAGAAATTTTCCTTAATAGGAAAGAATTGGGAAAGGAGGGAATAGAGAAGTATTATAATAACCATGACAGCCAAGATCATTCACTGGAGACAGTGAAGAATGGAAAATCTGAAGACCAACTGGAAAGGAGGTAATGCTAAGAATCAGAGTTGCAGAGGAGACTACAATCAACAAAGATCTGAATTTCTCCAGGGTTCAGCTGAAAAATGGAGTAGCAGATGTCAAGCAAATATTTTTTCTTTTCAAAGCTGGTTATCATATCCCTAGAAATTTCTTTATTACGTTGTTTATAGATAGAAAAAGTGCTCAGTAAAAGGCCTTCATTAGTTTGATACCTGCAGTGTATTCTTTAAAGTCCCTTGACAAAATTCTATCAGCAAACAGAAAGAAGACTGGTGGTAATACACATTTCAACCATTTTACCAGAAAACACCAATAAATTATTTTTACTTAATGGTGTATTCTTTCTGCTGCATTTGCTTTGTGAACATTTACACCAAATCCATCAGACATGGGCCACTCACATGACCAGAGAAATAACACATTTTACATTTTACTCTTCATGTGTCTATAACGGCAGAGTAGTTAGATGACATTGGAGGAGGAAAGTTGTTTCACCTATAGGCAAAGGTTGGCACAAAACCAGAGATCTAAACTGGCCATGTGGTTGCTTCAGAAGTGGACTATGGCCCACTGGATCCCTGCTAGTCCTGTGTCCTATGCTCCTACAACTAAGGACCGGAAGCTGCAGGAGTGGCAAGGGAAAAAATAATCTGCTTTCAAATACATGATCAAGTCTACTAATGCTCAGTAAATAAAAACTACATATATATAGCAATAGAATGTATTAGAAAAAATATGATTTTGGCCTGAAGCATGCATTTAATGATGAATCAAACCTTAGCAGGTTAAAGAATGCCATGAGCTGATAATTTTCCTGTAGGTAAGCGGGCAGTGGGGAGAGTTTCTGACATTACTGTGTATGAAGTACTACTTGGTAAGCCCTCTGCCTCACACTTGGAATTTCATTTTGCTGCCTCATATATTGTACCAAATTTATCCCTAGTTTAACTCTGCTCAAGTTATTAGAGTTACATCAGGCATGAATTTGGAGTAGTACTATAAAACATTCATGAGATGAAAACTATTATCTATATTAAAGTAATAATTTACGGTTCTCAAGCACCTTTCAGGGTGAAAATCACAGAATGCTTTAAAACATTCATGAATCAAGCCTGGCACCACTGCAGAGCTGAGAAGTATTATCTTTATACTGCAGACAAGAAAAGCAAAGTGAAATTAAGAAAGCCACCTAACACCGACCAGCACTGGAGGAAGCAGCAGGAGCCAGTATTTATGTGTGCAATATTTGTACACATGCCAAATGGTATAGGCTCCGCCTGTGAAACTTCATTTCTGAGTACTAATTTAGCCAGTGAGTGCCATAAACTCTCATAATGCCTCTAAGAACTTAATTTTTCATTACAAAATTCATTTTAGTTAAAGAAAAAGCCCCCACACTCTATAGCGACGTTCCCTACTACTAATACATCTGAATAGACTCAACTGTATAAAACACTCATTCAAACAAATTTTTTGTGACTGACTCCTGCTGTTGGACAGCAGCAGGACAGGAAAAGGTACTTTTTCTCACCCCAGTACTGGTACTGGAACTTTCTGTTCTGAAAAGCATGGGGTGGTTTTGGTGCTTTGGGAGAATCAGAAGTGTCATCTGGTGGCTGTTATCTGCCACACATCTTTAATACACGCAAAGCAGGAATTACTTAGCAGAGATCTGAGACAAGGCACAGAGGCTAGGTCACGCAGTGGTGGGCTGCCACGCTGGAGACGTGTCTGCCAAATATCCCTCAGCACAGCCTGGGCAGTCCTAGGAATCATCTGCTCTTTATTTTCTGTGCCCTGTCATGTGCTGCATCCCCAGCTGTCTGCATTTATTCAGCTGATATAGTTTATTGCCTGCAACTGCCTTTGTTGTGGAGTTCTCCTTTCCTTAGTGCTCTGGTTTGCCTAGTCGTCTCCATGCTGCCCCCAGAGCTGCTGTGAGATGAGGAGAAAGCAGCAGCTCATGGCAATTTTTCTATGGGTGATCCTCAGGCTTGAAGGGTAGGTGGAAGCCCAATGAATGGTGCTGGTTTGGGGTCAAACCATGTTTAAGCCCTAGGTGGGCTTAGACATGGGTGTGCTGGGGCAGGGGGGAAGTATTGCTGTGGAAGACATGCAGTGCTGGGTCCCTGAGAGGAACCAGAGGGATTTCTTCCTTCTAGGCAACATCTAGCCTGGTCTTAGACTTTCTTATCACCCACACAGGGCCTCTTCCTCTATCCTGCAGTCACCCATAAAGCCTCCCAGGTCTTATTTTCTCTTCCTTGTCCTCCTGCCTCTGCTCAGGCCTAGCATCTCCCTAGGGAGTTCACATGGGACACAGTGGGCACCCAGCTACTGCTATGGTGACAGCTCTGCTCTCCTGTAAGAACTTGTTTCCTGCTCATTTTCAGGGTCTTTTGCTTATGGTTTTAATACAGGTGCTTCTTGCAGTGCAGATGGCAGTGCTGGCCTGTTTTTCTATGCTAGAGACAGTGTGAGGTTATGTATGTATACAGCAAGTATTGTGGCTTTGGTTTTGCTTTGCTCTTAGTCTATTCTTTGTGTTGTAGTAAGAGAGCTATGAAATACCTCAGGAGTAGCCTGATTTAAAATAAATTAAAAGAAAAAAGGGGTGGGTGGGCAGTTGACAGGGCTCTGTTGCGAAAAGTTCCCACAAAGCACCTTAGTTTGGCCTTAAGGCAGAGGGAGCTGGGGCACAGCTGGTGCTTAGGGGAGCCGCTGAGG